GGCGTGAGCCACCACGCCCGGCTACATTTTAAATTCTAATCTAATCCATTAAGTCTTAGAGTTTTGCCATTATTATTTGATATCTTGCTCAAGAATTTTTTGGGTTTCATCTCTGTCCCTCTTGCCCATCTTCTTATTTATTTTTGGAGAGAGAGTGCAGTCGTGTGATCTTGGCTCACTCTGCTTCCCTGGTTCAAGCAATTCTCCTGCCTCAGCCTCCCGAGTAGTGGGTGGCACGAACCACGACGCCTGGCTAACTTTTTGCATTTTTAGTAGTGATGGGGTTTCCCCATGTTGGCCAGGCTGGTCTCGAACTCCTGACCTCAGTGATCCACAGCGCCAGGCCACATTGAATACATTTTTAAGAGAGATGTTTTCTTCAGTGTGGGTAGGGTGTGTGATATTGTTAGTCTAGTCTTCAGACATAGCACAGAGTAAAATACTGTGCTTCATGACCTGGCTTGGGAATCTAACCACCAGGGATACTATTAAAAATGCTTAATAACCAGTAGGGTAAAGGAGCCAAAATAACCAGTATGCTCCTTCTATATCTTACAACCAAATATTATAAAATGGTTTGACTACAATCAGCTCCCCTGGAAACCTGTTACTCTTGTTTCAAACAAATGACTTATACCTGGCTCTGTGGAACCTTTTAGGGACTCCTAATAATAAAATGCTTGCTCAGTAGGGCAGCTTATGCTTGATCTGCCCTGTTCTGATAAAAAAAAAAAAATTTTTTTCCCAAAAATTTCTCTTTCCCTTATAAAATAACAACCAGCCACTATGGCACTGTCAAAGAACTGTAACAGGATACTTCATTCTTCAGGGGAGGAGACCCTGCTTTAACTGCTGATAATCTGAAATTTACTTCCAACCTCATGGCAAGTACATAGGAAGGGCAACACTTTGCTTACGGCTTCCTCCACCCCTTTTATATTCTGTTAGGCAGAAAAATAAACATGGAAAAAGCTAATAAATGTTTAATTTATTCAGTACATGCATTTTAGGATGAAGCTAGCAAGTTTCACTTAACTGTAACCAAAAGTATCTCCAACATTCAGCAACAACTAAGCTGAATGAGAAGAAAATGGAAAGTTACTGATGTACTGTGTATTTATTCATTCTCTACATAGAGCATGGATGAGATACATAAAGAATGTATCAGGATTACTCTATGTATACAGTAATGCTATCTTAAAATTCACAAAAATAACGAACCAGGGCTAGTCTTACATAAATGTGGACTTCAAATAATATACAAACTGGGATATGGAAGCATACACAAACTGTAATAGTGTACTTCATAATGAAACAAAAAACTGAAGAAAATTCTACCATGTACTTAGTATAGATATATATGTATTTTTTTTTAAGACAGAGTTTCACTCTGTCGCTCAGGCTGGAGTGCAGTGGCGCAGTCTTGGCTCACTGCAACCTCTGCCTTGCAGGTTCAAGTAATTCTCCTGTCTCAGCCTCCTAAGTAGCTGGGATTACAGATGCTCACTTAATTCTTTTTAATTTTTTAAATTTTTGGTAGAGACAGGATTTCACCATGTTGGCCAGGCTGGTCTCAAAATCCTGACCTCAAGTGATCCGCCTGCCTTGGCCTCCCAAAGTGCTGGGATTACAGGCGTGAGCCACTGCCCAGCCAAGTTGTTGTTATATTTAAACCACTTTGAAACATGATTCATCCTCATAAACAGTGATAGTAAGAACCAAATTATTTTGCTGAAGTTACAGGCACAAGAAGTCAAGATTTTTGGATTGACTGTTTAATATGTAAATCTGTAGACTTTCAGATAAAGTAATTTTATTTTTTATTTGTTATTAAACATTCCAGCAGCATCACAATTGAGCTGACCTCTGAAGCAACTCTGAGACTACTCTTTGGATCTTTTTTGTGAATAGTGACAGGGATTAACAGAATTTAAATAAATTACAGTTTTGCTTTTGATTACTGTAATACCTCACAAGGGGCAGTTTGTTGCTGGTGTTGGGTTATTCTGATGATCTATTAGGGGAGGCAGAATAAGTTTGAGAATAGATTATTACATGTTTATTTGTTATGATATACAGTATAAAATGTGACCAGAGCCTTTTCCTCTTTCAGATTTTATAAAGTACTTTCAAATTTGTGGTTATATAAAACTTATGAATCAATTCATAAACCCAGGGAGCCAATAATGCCCACAAAAACAACAGACCTGGTAATCTAAAATGTTATGTTACTGGCAGTAACAAGATTAAAAGCTGGAAATGTTTGAGCTGAATGAAAAATTTTATTAAAACTCAAAGTTATCAAGAACTATTTTTATATAATTTAATAGCCACAACTACTGATATAAAATATAGAACAGTTCAACACTAAGTAATTTCATTTATATTAAATGCAATTATTTGAAATCATAAATTTTTAATACAATTATTTAAAGAGAGATTTTCTTTAGGAAACCTTAAAGATATATACATTTAAGCATATCTGAGTTTCTGGGCAAAGTCTCCACCATGTTTTCACATGCTATCTAATTATTACCTAAAAATGGCCCAATTCAATTTTTGCTATCAAAAGTCTTACTTCAAACACAAAATATCATTCAAACAATTCTGTAATCCTTCTCATTAACACCAAATTGAAAAACTGAATAACTTTACTGTAGGTAGATTACTGGAAAAGCTTTGGTGACATGTTGAGAGAACAGAGATCAGTAACATGTTGGGATGTTTAGAAGTCACTGGTAGGACCACAAGCATGAAGCAGTAGAAAAGGTTCAACAAAGCCTGCTTAGAGACGAGTGATGGGAATGAGCCTCAACAGGATAGGTAAAGGGATAAAACACAATCTCGACCCAGGAAAGTGACTGAGAAAGGGCTTCTTAGCAAGTAGTGGTGTTTTTGATGTATTTACCTGTCCTCCTCTAAAATTTTCTGAAGTTCTGTATCTCTGCAATTCCAGCTTTGATTCACAGAGGTCAGTAATAAATTACAGTAAACCACAAGGTTTATTTTCTGAGATGCTGGATAACTTCAAATTCATATTTATATCATTGTTCTCTAAATCTAATTTTTAATATCCCACTATTTTTTAGGACTATCTGTAGCTCTAATACAAAGGAGTTTTTTTTTTTTTTTTTAATTTCCCATGTATCTTAGCAGCTTTCTGGTAGTGCAGAATTTGAAGGAAGATTCAGTTTTCTACTTTATTAGCTAACATGTTTTTATTAGACTGCTTTCAAAATGCATAATATACACTGGGGTTAAATTTCAACAGCATCAATCTCTGGATTGAAGTTCTGAAATTTGGATACATGAAATGCTTATTTTTTAAAGCATTCCAATGGGGCAAAGTGATGATGAAAATGTTTTGTGGAAAATAGATAAATTTTATACTAACAAAACTATGTTACTTTTAAAAATTAAAATAAGAAAAACGATTTAACATTTTTCAAAGGGTTATCCTAATGTAAAATCCCTCTTTAAATACGACTAATTTAATGTAGCACATTACTATTTTGTTTCAAACAGGCAAATATAAATATGCAAGCATTTGTCTTATAACATTTTCTATAGTAATCTCTTTATTTGATAAAATATTCAAGTTTGGACATTTTGAAACAAGCTAGAATAAGTTTTAGCTTAATTTACATGAAAAAATGCATTCAATGAAAGAAATTATGTCTTGTAACAAAAAGATTCCTATCAAATTAAAAATTAATAGAGCATTTTATAAAAACTAAAATATGGGAGAGGAGAGAGTCACTCCTTGTTCATTGCCACTTTCTTAAAATTTTGAGACAGAAGTCTCACCCTGTTGCCCAGGCTGGAGTGCAGTGGTTCGGTTCACTGCAACCTCTGCCCGCAGGGCTCAAGTAGCTGGGATTACAGGCGCGCACCACCATGCTTGGCTAATTTTTGTATTTTCAGTAGACATGGGGTTTCGCCACGTTGGCCAGGCTGGTCTCAAATTCTTGACCTCAGGTGATCCACACACCTCAGCCTCCCAAAGGCTGGGATTACAGGCGTGAGCCACCATGTCCGGCCCATTGCAACTTTCAGTTTCGAACATTCATCTCAACAAGCCACACCTGGTACCACCGCTGAGCTAATGCTAGGAACTGTAGGTCACTATAAAACTGGCTCTACATAAGTTGGCAAAAACCAAAACACTGGAAGTACACAGCAAACAGGGAATAAGGACAGGCAACTAAAAATCACCTTCACTATACATTCACCCATCTTCCTTTCTTCTTTCCTTCCTATCCCCCAACTTCTCTCTCTCTTTTTTTTTCCTTTTGAGACAGTCTTGCTGTCACCCAGGCTGGAGTGCAGTGGTGCGACATCTTGGCTCACTGCAAACTCTGCCTCCTGGGTTCAAGCAATTCTTGTGCCTCAGCCTCCTGTGTAGCTGGGATTTCAGATATTCACTGTGACGCCCAGCTAATTTTTGTATTTTTAATAGAGAGAGTTTCCTCCATGTTGGCCAGGCTGGTCTCAAAATCGTGGCCTCCAGTGATCCGCCTACCTTGGCCTCCCAAAGTGCTGGGATTACAGGCAGGAGCCATTGTATCCGGCCGACTTCGCCCATCTTTAGACCCCGCCTTGGGAAAACAGAGCATACTACATTCACCCTCCGCCTTGCCTTCCAACAAGACAATTCACAGCTTGGTGTCTGCTCCTTTAATTAGGTCAACTCCAAGCTAAGATAAGCCTCAAGGAGTAGGTGTTTTAATGGGACAAGAAGAAAGTAGTCTAGAGAATTTAGGTTCTCAATTTTAGGTGACCCAGCATTTATATCCCCCTTTACCTTCAAACCTGTCCTTTCTCCCTGTTTATTATGGAATTCCTGAAACTACCTGATCAAGGATTTAATATTCTGTCACTTGTAAAAGTCATGTCATTAATTCAAAGTAACTGAAATAGCTGAGTAACCTGGAAAACTGTACTATATTTAAGAAGTACCATTAAGTAGTAAAAAGTAAGAAAATCTCTAGGAATCCCACCTGATGATCCAAATATATGGTGTTCCTTTGGAGATGATGTGAAAGAATTTCATTCTAGTAGGCACCAATTAAGAAAAAAGGGATAGAGAAAGAGGATGTGGAATTCAAGAAAAGGTCAATTTTGAAATAAGAAAAACAGGTAATTTACTATAACCTATTATATCACAGTATACTACAACTTTTGTGCACATGCTCCCCTGTAAATGGTACCGATGACATATAAAATTATAAAATTATATTTTGTTTTGTAAGAAATTAAGTATACATGCATATGAACAATGAACTATTAAGCAGAAAAATTCCTTAAAATAGCTTTAGCAAACTGTTAGAACTTCTACATGTTATTTCCTGTAATACAGTACTACTTCTTTCAATAAGATGTTTCTTTTTTTTTTTTTTTTTTGAGGTGAAGTTTTGCTCTTGTTACCCAGGCTGGAGTGCAATGGCGCCATCTCCGCTCACCGCAACCTCCACCTCCTGGGTTCAGGCAATTCTCCTGCCTCAGCCGCCTGAGTAGCTGGGATTACAGGCATGCACCACTATGTCCAGCTAATTTTTTGTATTTTTAGTAGAGACGGGGTTTCACCATGTTGACCAGGATGGTCTCGATCTCTTGACCTTGTGATCCACCCGCCTCGGCCTCCCAAAGTGCTGGGATTACAGGCGTGAGCCACCACGCCCAGCAAGATGTTTCTTATGTAACCTGAGCTACAAACCCTTTGAGAAATGTTTATGAGTTCATTCTTTTCATTAAAAATAGAAGACATTTTAAAATTAATCTTTAACATTTCAAAGGCAGTATTATGAAAGCTATAATGAATTTCCAATTCATTGTTTTACTAGAAATTATAGGACTTCTCAATATTTGTTTTACCAGATGTGGAAGTCACAGTATTCAGTGAATAACAACATGAAGTTAATGCATACATGAAGTATTGTATGCATTTCCTTCCTCAAAAGCAAAGACAGTGGGTGAGCGGGTGGATAGAAGGCTAAGAAGAAATGCACCCTACCTGTATATTCTTTCAGTAATGTATAAATAAGCAGAATTCTCAAAGGGTTAATAGGAGATTCTAAGGTTGTCACCATGATGGTATGGGTTCATGCTCAATACTAATGACACTGATCATACTGACTAATGAGTGGTTCAAAATAAGTGATGATGGCAGACAACACAGACAGATCTCTCAATAGCTGACCTTTGGGCTGTGGGCCTCAAGCTTTAGCTGCATGAGCTGTGCTAACGTATGCTCCCGGATACTACTCAGTTCGGCTTGTTGCCGTCTCAGCTTTATTAGCAGCAGTGTAAGCTCCTCTGGCTGAAGGAGTACAATTTAAGAATCCAAACAGTGGAAAACAGATTAATTGTTGTCTTAAGTGACAGATATTAAACCAATATTTCTTGGCAAGTTTCCTCTTATGGTTGACATCAAACATAGTGCCTAGGCACTATGATGATAGGTCCTACATAAATGCATAGATATCTAGAGAAATAGAAGGAACAGTGTTACTTTAAAAGATACAGCAAAACAACAGTATATTAAGGCATTTTCTCAGAACTCATGAGAATATTTAAATGTTAAGTACAAAAAAGCACAATGCCAAAAAACCATTAGAAAGGTTTGTACGTAAGTGCTGCTAAAAAATTATCAAAAGATATTTTAGGAAGATGCCTAAAAAATCACACCTTTTCTAGCAATAGTACAAATACCTGCATGCCCAACTTTCTAACAGAAGGCACATAAAATAATTAAAATTAATGTAGGCTGGGCACAGTGGATTGCGCCTGTAATCCCAGCACTTTGGGAGGTTGAGGTGGGTGGATCACGAGGTCAGGAGTTTGAGACCAGCCTCACCAACATGGCAAAACCCTGTCTCTACTAAAGATACAAAAAATTAGCTGGGCGTGGTGGCACATGGCTATAATCCCAGCTACTTGGGAGGTTGAGGCAGGAGAATTGCTTGAACCCAGGCAGAGGTTGCAGTGAGCTGAGACCGTGCCACTGCACTTCAGCCTGGGTGACAGGGCGAGACTCTGTCTCAAAATAAATACATAAATAAAATAAAATAAATTAAATGTAAAACGCGGATATCTTCACATGATTAAACTCAGTATCTGGGTTCAATTAATCACTTCCCAGTTTTATTCTGAAATGACAATGTTAGTGTTTTCATAGTATTTTTTATGACCAAAAGATCAGTTTTATTTTTTAATTAAAAGAGAAAGTTTCCATGGGCATGTAAACCCTCCTTCTTCGCTCTGGGAAAAGCAGATAACTTGTTTTTGGTTCCTGATTGGTGACTATGATCCAAAGGAAAAAAAAAAACCAACAAATTTTCAATGGTGGATGAAATTCCTTAATGGGCCAATTTGATATACTTTTCTTAGAAATACAGGAAAGTATGGGCATTGGCAGTCTTACAGCCCATAAAGTATTACTTGGTAGATCTCTGAGCTTTGTTATGATTAAAAAATGAAAGTGGGCTAAAGGGAGACTCTCCTCACTTGAGTGCTGCAATGTACTCTTAGAACTTCTAGGCTAAAAAAATATTTCTGAGATTGGTTTGTTTTGCCTACACCACAGCGTTGCACTAGCTCTCTTCTGTTCTGTTTATTTGCTATTGCTCTTTATTGCCCTATAATTCTTTTCAAAAACAAATCATTTTTAACTGGTGTCTGAAATCATATTAAAAATTATTGCCTTCAGACCGAAAAAGTGTTAGTAGAAGTAAACTATGGTTACTATTGGATTCCTTAGATAAAACTGGGTATTCACAAGTGAGACAACAGTCTTTTACTGTATATTAAATGGTCAAAGAATGTTTGGTGTGTGAGATTTAAAAAATAAGCCATGTAAGAGTAAAAGAACAGCTGCTTTTGCTCTGATTCCAACCCTATCTTGTGACCTCATGATGCTAGATGATCCTTGTTTTATGATCATCATATCCAGCACCTGAAGTCTTGCCAGGGAGAAGGTAAGGTGGGGTAAGAGATTTAGGTATTCTAAGAACCCAGAGTGATACCACAAGAAATACTGAAACTCTGGTTTATTATTTATGGAGTTAAAAACATTAAGAGATCTTCAAAAGGATGAAAGATACCAATACTGTAACTTTATTTAGATTCTGAGGTCAAATAAAGGGGCACATCTGACCAAAGAAAGGAGGAGGTGGGAAATAAATTTTATGCTACATTTCCACTAGAGGGAGCAAGGAGGAGAGAAACATTTGTGGTGTGATATTAGCATTTACTTTATGATTAATGCCTATTTGTCAGGTCAAAAATCTAACGTTTTAAAATTTCAACATTAAAAAGTTCTTTGTTTTAATCAAATAATATTTATAATCTTTGACAAACAAACTGCAAGTAGCTTAAAGCAAGGAAATATTTCCTTTTATATAAACGTGTAAAAGATAAAACAGGCCGGGCGCGGTGGCTCAAGCTTGTAATCCCAGCACTTTGGGAGGCCGAGCGGGTGGATCACGAGGTCGAGAGATCGAGACCATCCTGGTCAACATGGTGAAACCCCATCTCTACTAAAAATACAAAAAATTAGCTGGGCATGGTGGCACGTGCCTGTAATCCCAGCTACTCAGGAGGCTGAGGCAGGAGAATTGCCTGAACCCAGGAGGCGGAGGTTTCGGTGAGCTGAGATCGTGCCATTGCACTCCAGCCTGGGTAACAAGAGCGAAAACGCCGTCTCAAAAAAAATAAATAAATAAATAAAATAAATAAATAAATAAAACAATGTTTTTACAACACACATAAGATGAATTTGTTTTGATTACTGCAGGAAGAGAATTTTAAATAATGAATGGGTGCTAAAATCACACCTTTACAGAAATGATCTACTGACAATAAAGCCAGTGCCCTGATAAAAAAAAAAAAATTAATTAAAATAAAAAAAATTAAAATAAACCAAAGTGAAGAAAAGTCATCTTTTCTCTTTAACTATAACAGTGTCCTGCTAATATAACTCCTTTCCAATGGAACAGAACACTGATAATGAAATGATAATGGTAAATGCTTGCTTTGATGGAATGTTTGTTACAGTCTTTCTTTTTCTGCTGATATGTAAATCAGTTTCTTTTATTAACTGTTAATCTTTAGATTAACTCTAGAATTAATCTAAAAATTCACAGGGAAAACATAATACATCATAGTTTGACTACAAATAGCTGCTTGCTGGATTTGTTCACTAATAAATGACTGTAACCTCTGTTTTAAGAATAAGGGAATTAACAAAGAAACGCACCTAGCTTATATAATAAAGTTTCTTTTTCTTTTTTTTGAGACACTCTCACTCTGTCACCCAGGCTGGAGTGTAATGGTGTGATGTTGGCTCACTGTAACCTCCGCCTCCTGAGTTCAAGTGATTCTCCTGCCTCAGGCTCCCAAGTAGCTGGATGACAGGCATGTGCCACCATGCCTGGCTAATTTTGTATTTTTAGTAGAGACAGGGATTCACCATGTTGACCAGGCTGGTCTCGATCTCCTGACCTCAGGCTATCCACCCGCCTCAGCCTCCCAAAGTGCTGGGATTACAGGCATGAACCACCACACCCGGCCATAAAGTTTCAAAATATAATCTTTTATTTAGGCAGTCAGACACTTAGGAAAAGGTATCCAGTAAAACACTAAAATGGCTACATGATTCCAAATTCTTCTGATGAACATCTCTTGCACAAAAGTAGTACTATTTTTTCTTTGGGAGATACCTCTGAAAATTCAAACTTAAAAACTACGTTAGATATGTATCTTCCTGTGCAGCACATAAATAAAACACAGTATGGTAAATAAAGATATTACTCACCGTTTTCCCTTGGAGGCTCTGGGGACTAACAGACTGTAAAGTCAGGCCAGCTGGCACTGACCTTCTGTCAGGCACATAGACATGCTAGGAAAGTAAAGGCACAATGTAATTCTGTGGTAAAGTTTTTTCTTTTTTTTTTTTTTCTTGTCAATGTCAGCAAGGAGAAATCTTAAATTCATATTACAAAATACCCTTTCAAATTGCTATTAGTGCTTACGAAAGATGATAGAGGCTAAAATTTCTGTGTCATAAAATACTGATGTGGAGCTGGGTGCAGTGGCTCATACCTGTAATCCCAGCACTTTGGAAGGCCAAGGTGGGAACACTTGAGGTCAAGAGTTTAAAACCAGCCTGGCCAACATGGTGAGATCCCCGTCTCTACTAAACATACAAAACATTAGCCAGGAGTGGTGGTGTGCGCTTGTAATCCCAGTTACTTGAGAGGCTAAAGTGAGAGAATTACTTGAACCCAGGAGACAGAGTTTGCAGTGAGCCGAGATAGTGTCAATGCACTCTAGCCTGGGCAACAGAGTGAGACTCTGTCTCAAAAATACAAAACCAACAACCAAAAAACCAAAAACAACAACAACAAAAAACACAAAAACGGATATGGATGAACACAGTAATTCTTTCTTTTGTTTTGTTTTATTTTGAGGCAGAGTCTCACTCTGCTGCCCACGCTGGAGTGTAATGGCACAATGTCAGCTCACTGCAACCTCCACTTCCCAGGTTCAAAAGATTCTCTTACCTCAGTCTCTCAAATAGCTGAGATTACAGGTGCATGCCACCAAGTGTGGCTAAGTTTTGTACTTTTAGTAGAGACAGGGTCTCACCATGTTGGCCAGGCTGGTCTCTCCTGGCCTCAAGCGATCTGCCTACCTTGGCCTCTCAAAGTGCTTGGATTACAAGCATGAGCCACTGTGCCCAGCCTGTACAGAGTAATTTTATGGCCTGGTTTAGAGGTTCTCTAAAACTCTTTGGCTTCAGGATTCCTTTACATTTTTAAAAAGAAAATTTAGTGGCACAAGTGGCATTGTTTTATACTTTTGCAAATCTTTAATGTCTACCTGTATTCTTGTATCTGCTTCTGTATTTAATCTGTTGTGATAATCTCTTTTAGTGGAAGTATGTGAAAAAAAATCTACCCTCAATATACATAGTTGTAAAAAGGAAGAGAATTTTAATAGTTTCTCTTGATAATTATAGATGCTCATCTTTGACATTGTACTATAGCTCAAAAAAGTGGTATTTTGTTTTTTAAAGGTTAGTGTGGTATCCAAAACCTTATCAATGAACTTTTGATATTCTGTTACATAAAATATCCACTGGTCTATTTGCACTTCAAGTGAATCTTGCAATATCAAACACTGGTCACCTGGAAAAAATTGGTTCAGTGAGTTATGCAATGTTCCAAATGTTGACATATGTTAGTATACAATATAAAAAATCACTAATGTTAATATCACCACCAATCTTTAAGCACCGGAAAGCTGTCAAGTTCAGGGTGGCAGATACATGATTTCCAAAATTCTATTTTTTGCTTGAAAACCCAAATGTTGTCATCAGTGACAAATACTGTCAGTTGTTTTCCTTGAAGTGACAGGATAACATTCACTTTGAGAAAATGTGTCTATCAAATACCATGTCTGAATATTGATAGTTGCCTTTTGTTCAAATAAAAACGTGTTTCACAAAAAAAGGAGCTAATTCAGCTTGCAACTAAATCACATTTTTCTGTGAGACAACCATTAGCACTTCGGTATGCCATAGAAATGCTTTGTGCATTTACCGTTTCATCACAAATAACAGTAAAAGAATATGTAACAAAAGGTTAAGGTTCAATAAAATTATTTTCTACTGTTTCATGAACGAGATTTATAAGTGAACCTGATACTTTATTTTTCACTTGAAGTGTGTGGCAGTGAAAGACACAATGACCGCTAGTAAAGTCTGGAGCCACTGCCTTGATTTATGCTAAGGTGCCAGAAATTATACTCACCATAGCAAATGGGAACAAAATGAATAATGCCTTATTATGATTATAAAAATAGTTTTGACTCCCTGAAAGGGTCATGGGAGGGAACTCCCACAGGGATCCATGAGCTACACTTTGAGAGCTAGAACAAAGAAGAGGATAGGATAGTTTGAAAGAAAAATTTAGCAATTTTGGAGAAGTCTTTTAGGAGTAGCAGTAGTAGATAGTTGGGAATTGGATAGAGAATATAGATTCACCTCATATTTGCTGTTGAAACAGATGATATATTATGCATAAGAACATGAAAAATACTATTAACCACAAAAGCATGTAATTTAGAGCCACTTGTTATATCACACGAGTTAAGTTGTATTCGATCAAATTTTTCTTATATATATATATATATATATTTTTTTTTTTTGAGACGGAGTTTCGCTCTTGTTACCCAGGCTGGAGTGCAATGGCGCGATCTCGGCTCACCGCAACCTCCGCCTCCTGGGTTCAGGCAATTCTCCTGCCTCAGCCTCCTGAGTAGCTGGGATTACAGGCATGCACCACTATGCCCAGCTATTTTTTTTGTATTTTTAGTAGAGATGGGGTTTCACCATGTTGACCAGGATGGTCTCGATCTCTTGACCTCGTGATCCACCCGCCTCGGCCTCCCAAAGTGCTGGGATTACAGGTTTGAGCCACCGCGCCCGGCCAAATTTTTCTTATATATTGTTACTATTTTTATCAATCATGATTTAGTCTTTAAGTACAAAGTGAGGAAACATGAACTTTGTTACAATGGAGTTCAAAGTGAGGCTTTTTTGAGGCAAATTAAAGCTTTCTTCAAAGGAAAATTCCTGATTAATTTATTAATTTCCTTTTTTTTTTTTTTTTTTTTGGGATGGAGTCTCACTCTGTCGACCGGGCTGGAGTGCAGTGGCACAATCTTGGCTCACTGCAACCTTCTCCTCCTGGCTTCAATAATCCTCCTGCCTCAGCCTCCTGAGTAGCTGGGATTACAGGCGTGAGCCACCACGCCTGGCTAATTTTTGTATTTTTAATAGAGACAGAGTTTCACCATGTTTGTCAGGCTGGTCTCAAACTCCTGACCTCGTGATCCACCCGCCTCAGCCTCCCAAAGTGTTGGGAATAAAGGCGTCAGCCACCGTGCCTGGCCTAATTTATTAATTTCTAACAAATGCTTATTTGTGGAAATATCAAGCAAATGCTTTATGTAATAATGCAGCTGAAAGATTCAGCCTGTCACAAAGATAAGCATTTTAAAATAGTATAATAAAGCAATAACTTATTATTTTATTTTATTTACGCTTATCTGCTGATGACTAAAACAATTATTATTATTATTATTATTATTATTATTTTTTTTTTTTTTTTGAGACAGAGTTTCGCTCTTGTTACCCAGGCTGGAGTGCAATGGCGCGATCTCGGCTCACCGCAACCTCCGCCTCCTGGGTTCAGGCAATTTTCCTGCCTCAGCCTCCTGAGTAGCTGGGATTACAGGCACACGCCACCATGCCCAGCTAATTTTTTGTATTTTTAGTAGAGACGAGGTTTCACCATGTTGACCAGGATGGTCTCGATTTCTTGACCTCGTGATCCGCCCGCCTCGGCCTCCCAAAGTGCTGGGATTATAGGCGTGAGCCACCGTGCCCGGCCAATTATTATTATTTTTTAAGTCAGAGTCTTGCTCTGTTGCCGAGGCTGGGGTGCAGTGGAACAAGCACAGCTTACTACAGCCTCAGTCTCCCATGTTCAAGTGATCCTATGGCCTTGGCTTCCCAAAATGTGGGGATTACAGGCATGAGCCACTATGGCTGGCCAAGAAATTCTTAAGTATGAAAAAAAAGAGCACCTTAGAATAGACATTAAATAACTGGCTGTGCACTAGCTGACTAATCAAAATCACTGCTTTAGCATTATGAAAAGCTGATTGATACAAGACACACTGACTTCGCTTCAAGTAAGCTATACAAAGCAATGCTTAAACTAACTTAATGTACAAAGTAAAACATGATTTCCATTTAAAAAAAACGTATACATAACATTAAGCTCCTCTAATATTAAATTGAGTGTTTAAGGATATATTTCATAGCCGGGCGCGGTGGCTCAAGCCTGTAATCCCAGCACTTTGGGAGGCCGAGGCGGGTGGATCACAAGGTCGAGAGATCGAGACCATCCCGGTCAACATAGTGAAACCCCGTCTCTACTAAAAATACAAAAAATTAGCTGGGCATGGTGGCACGTGCCTGTAATCCCAGCTACTCAGGAGGCTGAGGCAGGAGAATTGCCTGAACCCAGGAGGCGGAGGTTGCGGTGAGCCGAGATCGCGCCATTGCACTCCAGCCTGGGTAACGAGAGTGAAACTCTGTCTCAACAACAACAACAACAACAACAACAACAAAAAAGGATATATTTCATTATGCCATATATTCAGTTGGTTAGAAGATAGTTAACACTTTTATCCTCACGAACAACAGGATAAGCTTGATATAAAATTGCAGGTATGCCAGAAGAGGATAGGTGTAGAATTTGTAAGTGTATGAAAAGCCAATAAAAATGCATGTGGTCTAGGGAAGGCACAGTGTCTCATGTCTGTAATCCCAGCACTTTGGAAAGCCGAGGCCAGTGGATCACTTGAGGTGAGGAGTTTGAGACCAGCCTGGGCAACATGGTGAAACTCCGTCTCTGCTGAAAATACAAAACTTAGCCGGCATGGTGGTACGTGCCTATAATCCCAGCTACTCTGGAGGCTGAGGCAGGAGAATCGCTTGAGCCCAGGAGGTGGAGGTTGCAGTGAGCTGAGATTGTGCCCCTGCATTCTAGCCTGGGCAATAAGAGTGAGACTCTGTCTCAAAAAAAACAAAAAAAAACAAAAAAAGAAAACCACCCCAAACCCAAAACAAAACAAAACAAAACAAAAAACTGCATGTGGTGTTAACCTACACAGAGAACTGATGAGATATGGTATCAAGCAGAGAATACAGAATCCATCTGCTCAAAAGAACTGCTCCTGTGCTCCTATGAAGTGTTGCAATTAGGTATTTTTTATACATCAGATCTTAACATTATAAAATATTTTAATTTAATTTTTGTTTTTGTTTTTGACAGAGTCTTGCTCTTTAGCTCAGGCTGGAGTGCAGTGGTGTGAACTTGGCTCACTGTAATCCATGCTTCCTGGGTTCAAGCAATTCCCCTGCCTCAGCCTCCTAAGTAGGTGGGACTACAGGTGACTGCCACCACACCCAGCTAATTTTTTTTATCTTTAGTAGACACAGGATTTCACCATGTTGGCCAGGCTGGTCTCAAACTCCTGACCTTGTGATCCGCTCACCTCAGTCTCCCGAAGTGCTGGGATAAAGGCATGAGCCACTGCGGCTGGCCCTTTTATTTAATTTTTAAAACAAGAAAGAGCTGCCTTGCTTACTTTCTCCCCATTGTCTTGTCTCTCACACTTCAAGTAGGGTACTAGAAAGAAAACACAGCATTTATAAAGTAGTGAGTTAACACAAAATCAGCAGCTATTTTACCTTAGGGTGGTGGGCCCTGTGTCTGCGGTCTATCGTCACATCTCCTCTCTGAATTGGTGAAGATACTTCCGATCTGTAAGTTCGTTGAGGAGAGTATCCCTGATAAGCAGCTATTGACCCATGGGAAGGTGATGTGGGAATAGAGTGCATTGTCTGGTCAGAAATATTAACCATGGTTTTGGGACTACTCAAAGAACTGTGTCGAGGAAGGGTGCTCTGTTTATTATAAAACTGACGCTGCTGCCATTCGTAGAGCTGCCACATTGTGTCATCTCTCATGGACCTCCGTTTCTCTTCTGCTCCAGGTCCTAAGGTCTTGTCATGAGTGGAAGGGGTTACACTGCAGATACTTTCAGGCCTTGTCTTGCTGTTTCTTGGGAGTGTTCTATAACCTTCAGGGTAGCGGGCCATAATCTGGGCTCTGTGGCTTGGCATATTTCTTGGTAATGTTTGATAAGAAATTACTCTAAAATAAAAAAATAATTAAAATGTAAAAATGAAGGAGAGTTATTCATATTCTAAATTACTGTACATTTCTTTTGTTCCAGTAAAAAATATATACCAGAATATATGTATGTTTTTTGGAGAGGGAGTCTTACTCTGTTACCCAGGCTGGAGTACAATAGCTTGATCCCTGCTTATTGAAACCTCCGCCTCCTGGGCTCAAGCGATTCTCCTGCTTTAGCCTCCCGAGCAGCTGGGATTGCAGGCATCCTCAATAATGCCTGGCTAATTTTTGTATTTTTAGTAGAGACAGGGTTTCATCACATTGGCCAGGCTGGTCTTGAACTGCTGACCTCAGGTAATCCACCTGCCTCAGCCTCCCAAAGTGCTGAGATTACAAGCATGAGCCACCATGCCCGGCCTAGAATACATATATATATATATATATATATTTTTTTTTTTTTTTTTTTTGAGACGGAGTTTCGCTCTTGTTATCCAGGCTGGAGTGCAATGGCGCGATCTCGGCTCACAGCAACCTCCGCCGCCTGGGTTCAGGCAATTCTCCTGCCTCAGCCTCCTGAGTAGCTGGGATTACAGGCACATGCCACCATGCCCAGCTAATTTTTTGTATTTTTAGTAGAGACGGGGTTTCACCATGTTGACCAGGATGGTCTCGATCTCTTGACCTCGTGATCCACCTGCCTCGGCCTCCCAAAGTGCTGGGATTACAGGCTTGAGCCACCGCGCCCGGCCGAATATATATATTTTTAAAGATTGAAATCGCATACAAGGTATAAACTATTAACAGACTTTAATCTTTTTATGAAATTCTATTTAACAAACTTAATACAGGGTGAATAGCATCTACATCAGTTACACAAAAGACTTAGTTTCACACAATGTATAGTTTGGTTTGAAGATGAAAGAGTATTATTCTTCATTTGAGAAATAAGAATGCTCAAAATCTCATCTCAATTCTGTCCCTATATTTTATTTGTTTTTACATAAATAAATTCTCATTTTCATACATCTTATCAGAGGACTAGGATGGATGGAATGTATGTATATTTCATCTATGTATTGATGAAATATAAAGTGAGTTATACCCACCGAGCATAAAGTTACACCATATGGTATAACCCATAGAGTCATACCACTTTGATAAACACAAAGGAAATAAATTACTGCAAGTGTATGTTGACTGTTGACTACTCTGTTGTACGTGTTCTTTCAGGAAGCACGGTTATTTATGGGAGTAAATACATCAGTACATTTGGTTTGGAGGAATAACTTCCTTTCATAGCTTTTCCTAACTTGAAATATAAAAATGACTTGTAGCTGAAGCTAATTCTATTATTTAAAGATAAAATACTTTAATATCACAATATTTCAGATATAAATCTGCAATCTAAGCCATTTTACAATGTTTCCAGCACAGGAATTAATATTCCACTTCATAGATGGTGGAATATTTTTCAGGGGGCTTTTTAAAGCAATCTAAAAATGCTTCATGTACATTATGCATGCAAAGTATAATTCTTTTAAAATGCTAATTTTGGGAATTGGATATGTAATTGCATATTATTAAGCACAAAATATTACCATTTCCAAAAATGAAATAATACAATTTCAGTTACTATTTTTTAAAAAACCGCTTTGATAAACACACTCTTTGAATTTACAAAACCATCACAGTGCCAACTTCAAGCTAGGTGAAATCCATGATAAAAGAAACTTTTTAAAAGTTAGGTAGGGGAGCCAGAAAAAAAAGAAAAAAGAAGTCAATTAAAAACTCTGTGTAAAGTTAGCATTTTTGTTTCCCTATAATCTTTTTTTTTTTTTGGAAGTAGTGTTTCCCTCTGTTGCCCAGGCTGAAGTGGATTGGTGCAATCTCAGCTCACTGCAAAGCCCACCACTCAGGTTCAAGCGATACTCCTGCCTCAGCCCCCTGAGTAGCTGGGACTACAGACACCAGCTTCCACACCCAGCTAATTTTTTGTACTTTTGTAGAGACAAAGTTTCACCATGTTGTCCAGGGTGATCTGGAACTCCTGAGCTCAGGCAATTGGCTTGCCTTGGCCTCCTAAACTGTCAGGATTACAGGCATGAACGCCTGGCCATCTATTCCCTTTAGAAACAGAAGTGTAGATATAATTCAAATTCTAAATACAAACATAATTTTTTTTTTTTTTTTTTTTTTTTGAGATGGGGTCTCACCCTCTCACCTAGGCTGGAGTGCAGTGGAGTGCACTGCAGCCTGGACCTCCTGGGCTTATGTGATTTTCCTGCCTCAGTCTCCTAAGTAGCTAGGATTACAGGTGTATGCAACCATGCCTGGCAAATTTTTTATTTTATTTTTCCCAAACATAACTTTTTAACAACCACCACCACAAGAAAATCTAGATTAGACAAAGCAAGATTAGGCTGGGTGCGGTGGCTCATGCCTGTAATCCCAGTACTTTGGGAGACCGGGGTGGACAGATCACCTGAGGCCAGGAGTTCGAGACCAGCTGGGCCAACATCGTGAAACTCCACCTTTACTAAAAATACAAAAATTAGCCAGACGTGGTGGTGCATGGCTATAATCCCAGCTACTTGGGAGGCTGAGGCAGGAGAATCACTTGAACCTGGGAGATGGAGGTTGCAGTGAGCCGAGATCGTGCCACTGCACTCCAGCCTGGGTGACAGAGAGAGACTCTGTGCCCTCCTCCAACCCCCCCCCAAAAAAAAGAAAAAAAAAAAGGAAAGATTAAATTACAAGTATTTACCTTATACTATCACCTCCATGGGCATAAATTTATATCCTAATACAAAAGTCAACATATTCAATGAACCAAGTATGTGGAAGGGTTGAGACTCCACAAACTGAGGTTTCCGGATCTCTTCTTTCAATGTTTAGTTAACAACTTTCTCCTAATATTATATGGGCTCCTACTGGTTGGGAAAATGTCAGAGATACTGATGATTACATGGACCATAAGGGATTAAAGATTTGATGGGAAAATTATTTGACCATACTCTTAATAATCTGGGACTCCTTTGCTGATAATCTGCATATAAGAGCTCTCTGTTGACCCAAAGACTGATCAGTAACACTGCACAAACACTGATACATTATTGTTAAGACTTTAGGCTAGGTGCAGTTGCTTACCCCTATAATCCCAGCACTTTCGGGGGCCAAGGCAAGTGGATCACTTGAGGTCAGGAGTTCAGCATAGCAAAATGCCATCTCTATAAAAACTAGAAATTATTAGTTGGGTGTGGTGGCGTGCTCCTGTACTCCCAGCTACTCAGGAGGTTGAGGCAGGAGAATTTGTTGAACCCGGGAGGTGGAGGTTGCAGTGAGCTGAGATTGTACCACTGCACTCCAGCCTGGGCAACAGAGGGAGGGCTCTGTCTCAAAAAAAAAAAAAGAAAGAAAAGGAAAAAAAAAGGGGAGATTTCATTGTGATTAGGTGTGATGAACTGAGTGCATTCTGGATTATGAGGCAAACAATTAAACATGGAGTTTGGGTCTATTGGGGTAGTAAAATTATGTTAACTTTTATACTAAGAGAAAAACCTCATGTTTTATTTATTTTTTATTTTTTTTAAAGATGGGGTTTCACCATGTTGGTCAGGCTGGTCTTAAACTCCCGACCTCACGTGATTCGCCCACCTTGGCCTCCAAAGTGCTTGGATTACAGGCGTGAGCCACCACACCCGGCCTAAAAAATCTCATGTTAAATATACCTTCTCTTCGTTAAAGCACCCAGAGGGGATATAGTGGGAAAATAGTAAAACAGGAAAAGTGGTTGATCAAAAATTAGGAAAGCCAAGTTTTGATTGTTACTTTCCTACTAAGTACTTAGACGGTAGATGAGTTACATATTGTGGGATTTTCAGAATGTTGGGGGCAAGGTGGAATGTAGGGGAGAAAAGACCAAGCGATCATATTCTTTTTTCTTTTGTGCTAGGATTACAGGTGTGAGCTACCATGCCAGGTCCAAGAGATCATACTTGGGGTTACAGAAAGAGTTCAAGGTCTAGATAGAACTAAAATGCAGGTCTCCTACTTTCTAAAGCACTGCTTTTTAAATTATGCCAGTGATACCTAAACTTTTGGATTGATTTTTTTTTTTTTAAAAAACCTCTATTTTAAAATTTTGCCAGATATATTATTTTTAAAAAATCATGCTCATACATCACAGCGACTTAGTTAAAAATAAAAAGGCACTAAAAAATTATGAAGGATATAATCTTATAGTACCAGAGAGCCCTTTATATGCTACCAAAATCTAACCGAATGACTAACTGAAACTGGGATCCTCTTTTCTCATCTAGAAGATGATTGTATCATAAACTTATTCTAGAGCTCCAAAATTCTATGCCTCATTTTGTATTTTAAATATTTCTAATTCCTTCAACCATTTTTCCTAAGCTAAATTTCCTTCATCATGCTGGTTGTTCTTCAGGATTTCAATGTTTCTACTAGAAAAGAGTTTGTTCAAAATTGAACAAAATGCCTCCAGAAATAACCACCGCATTTAGGACAAGCACCTGATGCCTTCAGGGGTAGAGTTAGGGAGAAAGATATCCAATTTCTCTTATATAACCAGCATATACAAAAATTAGCTGGGCTTGCTGGTGCGTGCCTGTAGTCCCAGCTACTTGGCAGGAGAATGGCTTGAATCTGGGAGGTGAAGGTTTCAGTGAATCAAGATTGCGCCTGGTGACAGAGTGATACTACGTCTCAAAAAAAAAGAAAAAAAAAGAAAAAAAAATGTATCTCCATTAAAAAGAGTTCAGTTCCTTGAGGCTTTCCCTCCACGGCTATTTCCCATTTTGTTTCTGCTTGGTCTTCCTCCCGACCTTCACCTTCTCTGATCACACAAAAGCCAGAAACTGCAAAATGTACAGAGCTGGCAACCCCATGACTATGTGCAAATATGTCAGCTAGGGAAAGTTGATTCCACCAGAGACTGCCCCAGTACTAAAGCAATTCACCCTGACACACCTTGGTTTAGTCTGTCATTCCTAAATTCAAGAAATACTACAGTAGGCTTAATATGCAAAAGCTTGAGATTAAGCACTGAGCTATAGCATAGAAACAATATAAGAAGAGGATATACATTATCAATCTAAAACACACCAAAAATTCCCTATAAACGAATGTGTAAATTACAGTTCAAAAATATAATTACCCTAAAACACTTCTGTCAAGTGCTCTGAAGTATTTCTAGTGTGTGCGCTGGACCCTGTTGTAGAAATGTATATTGAACCTGAACTGTCAACCTATCATATGATCATTAATAGTAGGATATATATATTTTTAGTAAGCTTGGTTAATTAATGACATTAAAAGGCTCTTCTGTATCTTTGGAACCGCATTTGGGGAATTTTAGTTAAAAATTAAATTATTATCAAGTAAATGTATTTTTATCCCATATATTTCTAGCACTTCGAGACCTGTTTTTTTAAAACTACAAGTCTCTTTAGTGACTTTTTTCCCTAGAGAAATTCAAATTAAGCAAAGTGTGATTTACTTTTAACTGAAAGCTGAAGAAATGAACACTCTAAGCTCCTTCATCAGATTTAGTGCCCCATTGACCAGCAGCTGCCTGTCAAGCACCATAAAAATCCTGTCCCTGTGATTCTGCCACACAGAACAATGGCTTAAGGCACCGTGCATCTTAACAGCGCCTGCCACTCAGAATTAAACTTTAAAGCTTTGTTCACAGATGCAGGGATCTACTATTTGACTAAATATTAAACCTTTTTCTTCCTATCAGAACTTTAATAATAAAAGAAAGGGTTTCATAAAGTTTTTTAAAAAATAAATTATATATTGAATTACAATTACATTTCCTTCCACCAATGAAAAGATCATTTCATTATAAAACACTACAAACTATTTTTTATGATGAAGTTTTCATAACACAGATGATATTTTCCTATGATCCAAAGTGGACTCATGCAATTTCAAAAGAACATCTAAATAACAGTATTTATAAAAACTGGCATAACAGTTAACCCAAAAATGTAGGAGGAACTGAGGGAAAACCATAGCTCAAAATAACCTAAATCCAGCCCTCAGAAGCTGTTGGTCTATTTCCAAAAGAAAGAAGTTACAGAAAGACTTTACTGATATTAATTACTCTCAAAAAGGAACCTAAAACTAGTATTTATGCTTAACAATTTTAAAAAATCCTCTAATTTCCAGATATTTGTTGAATCTCTCTATACACTTCTAAACTTAAGAAAGTGTGATGCTTTGGGAAAAGTGATTCTTCTTTGAAGTGAGATTTAACTTGGTGAGCAGAGACTCAGCAATCTTCTGATTTGGATTTTTGTTATTTTCCCAAAAGTGATTACTTTTCCAAGTATTTCTAAACATCCTTTCATTTTTTTTTTCCTCCCAGAACTACTTCCTGCTTCTTTTCTGTCTAATCAAATTGTATTAATTTATTTTTCTGCAAGTAATACACAAGTTTATTCATATTTGTCATTCCATTCAACATTAAGTAATCTTATTTATTCATCCATGCATTAATTAATTCATTTATTTATGATTTTGGTCAATCTGGTAAGTGAAAAATAATGTTTAATTGGTTCTTTAATGTGCAATTCCCTGATTACTGGTAAATTTGAGCATTTGCCAGTTTTCTTTTTAAAGAAAATTGACAAATAAGATTATACTTATGGTGAACATGATGTTTTGAAATATGTATATGTTGTGGAATGGCTAAATCAAGCTAATTAATATATGCATTACCTCAATAACCCATCCAAACATTATCTTTTCTTTTCCCAAATCTTTTCTTTGTAGTAAAAAGCACCGAATCACCCCAGCTGCCCAGGCCAAAAAGGCAGGGTGTCATTCTTGATTTCCCTCAAGTGCTCAAACTTAATTTTTTTTTTTTTTTGAGATGTAGTCTTACTGAACTCCAGATTGGAGTACAGTGGCGTGATCTTGTCTCACTGCAACCTTTGCCTCCCAGGTTCAAGAGAGAGATTCTCCTGCCTCAGCCTCCCGAGTAGCTGAGATTACAGGCAAGTATCAACAATGCCTGGCTAATCTTTGTATTTTTAGCAGATGGGGTTTCACCATCTTGGCCAGGCTGGTCTCGAACTCCTGGCCTCAAGTGATCTGCTCACCTCGGCCTCCTAAAGCACTGAGATTACAGGTACAAGCCACCATGCCCAGCACTAAATTTAATCTTGAGCTAGGCTAGTTTGCCATCAAGCATATCAAAGCAATCAACTAGATTTGTCAATTATATCTTAAATATATCCTCTTCTTCTCACTTCAGTAACTTTTAAACCTTCTCCATGTATTGTCCAGATTTCTGAGACACCAATCTGAATATATTCCTCCTGGCTTATCTCTCTAGCCTTGTTCTTCACTCATTATTTCCCCAGTTACAACCAAGCCATACTGGATTTCTTTTGATTCTGTTCTCTATCAACCCTGGAGCTTTGACTGACTAAGCCATAATGTGCATGTCAGTTTTCATATCACAGCTGTGTTTTGTTTCCTCCAGAAAGGTTTTCCTGGACTGTGAATCATTAAGATTGTGTTGGTTGTCCCGAAATGTGTTCTACGGCACCCTGGTCTGCCTTAATTGTATTTATCATAATAAATTGCATTTACTTATTCAACTGTCTCCTCTACTAGAGAATTATCTTTGTGAGAACCTGGACCGCATATCTTTTCATTATTTTACTTTGTGGTCCCAAAATTAGCATATATTAGTTGTAAAATAAACATATCAAGAAAAAGTGCATGCAAAAACAAATAAATGCTCACATAAATTTATCTTTTATTTTTTTTAGAGTTGGGGTCTCATTCTACTGCCCAGGCTGGAGTGCAGTGGCACAGTCATAGCTCACTGTGGCCCCCAACTCCTGGGCTCAAAAGCAATCCTCCCACTTCAACTTCCTCAAAGTAGTTTGTACTACAGGCATGCACCACTATGTTTGGCTAATTTTTAAAAATATTTTTACAGAGATAGGGTCTTGCTAGGTTACCCAGTCTGGTCTTAAACTCCTGGCCTCAAATGATTCTCCTGCTTTGGCCTCCCAAAGTGCTGGGATTACAAGCATGAGCAACTGCACCTGGCCTTGAATTTAATACTTAGTTATGTACATTCTGATTTTCAAAAAGCCCAAGAATAAGACTGAAAATTAAAGAGCAGTAGGCCTTCACTGCCTCCTTACTACTTGTCTCAGGAGATCCTTGCATTGCACCAAGCTGCAGAAACATGGTAACCGAGGACAGTCAGAGAAGAGGTGATAATGACAGGGGACGAGACAGGGGTGGGTTGGGAGGATAGGGCTTACTCCCTCCCTCTCCCAAATAAATGCAATCTCTACCAATAACCCAAGCCTTTCCTTGTGCTTGGTCAGGTAGGATGACTCCTTGCCACTAGCAAAGTTGGGTGACAGAAAATAAGAGACAGAGAATACTTATATCTGATCATCAAAAACAAAAGATATAGTATAATGAAGTTGTAACAGCTAACACACAATTTAAATCAGTATTTTAATCAGTAGCTCAGAAACCAATCTACAGCAACACAGCATCAAAGAAAGCTGGGTTCATAATGACAAGATAGATACTTACCCCCTGGTTTCTTCTTCATGACTCCTCCCCTTCTGGATTTTAATCCACTGTTCCAATTGCTGCATTGAATTTGTTCTCTGTATGACTCGATCAGCCTCTGTGTATAAGGGCCCTGTAATGGGGTGATTTCCACCTCTAAGATCTGCCAGGCTAACATTGACTATTTTGTTCTCTGAACTGTTTAAGTTGACTGGTCTGTAGTGTGCAGTTTGAGCAGGGCAGACTGACCCACTCTCATATTCAGAAGGCAGAGAATTCAACTTTACACTATTAATTTTTGTTAAGGGTCTATCTTGACCATCTTTCTGAAATCCATATTTTTCAGCTTCTAATGCCTTTTTTTCTTCAATTTTGCTCATTTCCTTGTTTTTCTGATTGTTTTGGATCTCTGGTTTAATTAGCACTCTATGGTTGGGAATGTTATTGGTTTCTTTAGTTGGTGCATTTTCTGATGTAATCTTGTCCACTCTGAAATCAGAGAAGAAAATCACAGATGAAATAATGTACATGTTACTTCTGGGATTCAGTCTAGGAAAAATTATACTTTATGGGGGTGGGGGCAACGGGACTGGAAAGGGTCACAGTGAACATGTCTACACAAATACCCAATGATGTGGTATTAACATTCAAGCACAACACCCCTGAATGTATAAACAGAAAGGGGGAAAAAGAAAACATCAAGAACTGGAGGGTAAAAAGTGATGTGTGCTCCCATCATTAGGAATCTGAAAATAAAGCAAATTAAGATTGCCTTATGACAGTTAAATCACAAAATCTACTCTTAAAGGACCATAGTAGCTAGTCCCTTGAAAGAATCAACATGGCTCTCAGCCAGGATTAGCTCCTTGTTGACTCATGAGACAAACATGACTCTGGTTGTGGAAACGGCTGCTACAGGAAATTATAGTCTGATTCTATCTAAGATCCGAACCATATGATTAACATTTCTAGTCTGTATTCAAGAGGAACTCAGTATGATTTTAGAGCCCTTGAATCCTAACTGCACATGTCCAGCTTGCAACTCTGTTCTTACTAGCTGTGTCTTTGGGCAAAGTACTGAACACTTAAAGTGCCTATGCTTCCTCTTTGGTAAATGAGTATAATTGTGTCAACAAGATCAGAGGGTATCTGTGAATTAGTGGCTGGCACAGACCTTATTACCACTGTAATTCCATCATGTCAAGCAACCTTGGGTTAGAATCTGGCATCCCATGTCCACCTGCCCACTGAAAGAATGTGCCAGTTAACAGCATGTGTCTAGGCCACTTGACAGTTGTACTACTCATTATTCTAGCTGCTGTATCTAGGTCTTTCCCTGAACCTAATCACTTCCAAGCTCTGACAAGATCAAGCTAAGTGTCTAAACCTGCACAAAACTGCCAAGATCATGTCACTCTAGGAGGCCTCTCAGGAGCCAGTCAACCCTCCATATTCCAATAAATAAAAATGCTTCTATCAGAAACTAGGTATGGTATTGCTGCCAATGTTTATGATGTGTGGAAAATATGTAGATCTATATACATAGTATCTGTAATCAATGATAGATGAAGATATCTAAAAGTTTGGAGTATGTTCACAGAAAAAAATGAAAATAAAAAAGGTGACTATTTTTCTTAAACTTATGAACTATTTATTTATTTCAGTTAGATATAAACCATAGCTTCTAGATTAGAGGCAATATTAGACACTGGGAAAATTTACTAGGATAGGTTATGAGCTTGTTTCTCTTGAAAAATAAAAGTCGGCCAGGCATGGCAGCTCACGCCTGTAATCCCAGCACTTCGGGAGGTCAAGGCAGGAGAATTGCTTGAACCTGGGAGGCAGAGGTTGGAGTGAGCTGAGATGGCACCACGGTACTCCAGCCTGGGCAACTTTTATCCAGTGAGATTCCATCTCAAAACAAGAACAGAAAAAAAGTCAAAAAATTTACATTAAAAGCACATGTATCCTTGTTATTTGGGAGGGTAGGAATTTTAACATTAAACATAAATTAACTGAAAAGATTTTAAAAAACATATTTACTGTAGTCTATCTATCTAAAGCTATTATTATGACTGTCATCATGATTATTATCATTAGTATTTGAGACAAGGTCTCGCTCTATAACCCAGGCTGGAGTGCAGTGACATGATTACAGCTCACTGCAACCTCAACTTTCTGGCCTCAAGCGATCCTTCCCTCTCAGCCTCCCAAGCCCCTGGGACCACAGGCATATACCACCACACCCAGCTGATTTTTAAATTTATTTAAAGATGGGGTCTCACTGGTTACCTAGGTTGGTCTTGAACTCCTGGGTTCAAGCAATCCTCCCACCTCAGCCTCCTAAATTGTTGGGGTTACAAGCATGAGCCACCATGCTTGGCCTAAATGCATTATTTTAAATTAAAACTGTGGTGTGTTCCGCCCCCCAACAAGATTTGTCATTGAAAAAATAGTCAAAAAGACACATGTGAAGACTTTTCTCTAAATGGAACAAAGCTGACTCAGAAAAGTATGCTAAGTATGTAAACTTGTGATCTAATTTTAAAAAGTGACATTTAAGTTATTGCAGAAAATACACTGCGATATACGAAATGAAAATAATGGGCTTAGAGATGAAAATTATTCAGAGAATCCATATTTTACTTAGGTCTTTTTTTTTTTTTTTTGGCTATCAATGATCTGTACACTATGAGACTACGACACTGTAGTGAATAGGTGAAATATTTTATAAAGTTAGGGAAAATGAACTCTCAAGTTAAAAAATGGATGCTACATCTCTCAAGTGATATCTTCTAATAAATATTTTAAGTATTTGAGCCGTACAGCAAAATGAGTGCACTAACTTAAAACCAAGCAAACAAAATCTCCCTATACTTACTACACTTTGAATGACTAAATCTAATAGGGTGGGATAAAAATGCCAAGAGCTAGGAGTAGGAAAAAACATGTAATTTCTACAGCATAATGGATTGTAATCTGGGCACACAGGTGGTATTAATAAATCTTGTCTCAGTAGATTAACCAACATAACTTGCTGAAAATTGTATAAGCACATAACCAGTGAACTATCAGGTGAACTATCAGGTTGCCAAAAGCCAAGCCAAGCCAAGCCAAGCCAAGCCAAGCCAAATAATTGTCGTCTTCATCTTCCCAAATTATGAGTAATTATTAGAGTAGTAAATGTAATAAAATAAAGTAGAAACAAGTTGAAATTCTGAGAAAAGTATAATACACAATATTGAAATTATTTAGACATAAATATTAATTATTATGCAGATTTCTATATTCTAAACAATTCCCTAAACATTTTGTTTTGAAGTTAAAAGTACTGAAGCTGGCCAGGCGTGGTGGCTCATGCCTGTAATCCCAGCACTTTGGAAGGCTGAGATGGGTGGATCACGAGGTTAGGAGTTCAAGCCCAGCCTGGCCAACATGGTGAAACCCCATCTCTTAAAAAAAAAAAAAAATGTATTGAAGTTTTATTTTTTTTGACAGGGTCTCACTCTGCTCACTCTGTTGCCTAGGCTGGACTGCAGTGGCACAATCACAGCTTACAGCAGCCTCCTGATTCATGTGATCCTTCTGTTTCAGCCTACTGAGTAGCAGGGACTACTATAGGTGTGTGCCACTATGCCTAGCTAATTTTTTAATTTTTGGTAACAGATGGTGTTAAGTCATGTTGCCCAGGCCGATGTCAAAATCCTGGGCTCAAGTGATCCCTCAGCCTCCAAAGTGCTAGAATTACAGGTGTGAACCACTGTGCTCAGCCTGAAGATTTTAAATGAATTATTTTTACCTACACATTTTCTCGTTATCAGTGCTAACCACCTCATCTTTATGTCACTCGGGTAATTTTTACACAGGTAATTCCAAAAACAGATTTTCCTTCTATTTGCTCTCAATCTGGAATATGCATATGATTAAAGTGGTTTTTCTTAAAAATGGATGTCCTAGAACTATATCCTAGACCCTCTTTTCTTTTCGGTTTTTCCCCAGCTCTAATTACTATTGATTGGGTAATTTGATTTAGACTTCACATTTATAAAATAGTACAAATATACAGCATCAACCTAAGTCTTTCAGCCAAAAAGCCAAGACTTTATTACAATGCGCACTAGAATAAGAAAAACAAAGGACTAAATTTATACAATCCCTCATTTCCTGAGAAGAGGGGAAAAAAGGCTCAACTTGCACATTACCATCTTTCTTATATAAGATATGTACTCAACTGTCCCTGATTAAAATAAAAATTTATTTACATCATATTTTTTTCTTCAAATTATAGGAATATATATTTTTAAACAACACATTATACTACTTGTATTTATGTAGTCTGAGAAACAGATTTCCTCTGACTAGATGTATTAAATATATCTAATCAGAGGAAGAATATTAAAATGATTCATTTCTTCAAGCAGGGAAAAACACATGGGTCAATTTTAATAGCACTTATCTATATTATCAAGGAATCTGAGTAGTGGAGTATCAATATTAAAAAGGTACAATTCAAGAAGTGGATATATTTGGAAATAATCTAAATGCTTGATGAATTATCTTCTAGAGACATTCATCACAAAACAATAAAAATTAATCAGAAATGTTGAAGAAACTATCAAAATTTCTTAACTGTAATTTATTACACTTTAGAAACATCAACATAGTATTACACAAAAACACAAATTAAATTCATAAAAATAAACTCTCTTCTAAGATTTAGAATCTTAAAAACACCATATTGAAGGATAAAAATCTGTGTAGCATTAAGGTAACAATAAAAATGTACTCACCGGAAATTAAAGGTAATTCTGTAAGAAGAAAGAACATTCAGTTTGAATGTTAGGATTCTGAATTCACCCCAGTACACTGATAGGTGAAAATGAATAAAGAAGAAAAGTGGAATAAAATGTAGGCGGTATTGTAAACTAACAAAATGTGTATTAATTTAATTCAGAACAAGAATTGATCCTTGCTTTCTGAGGAAAAAATGATTTCATACCATGACTATTGAAATGATATGTACTATGAAAGTGAAATACTTGCAAGGCATGGAATAAAATGGAAGTGGAAATCACCATCATTTTTTCTACAAGCTTTTACCTTTTCACAGGTTCTGTCTGTACTAGGGCAGCATCTAACATGGCTTTCATCCACAACTCCATTTCCTTTCCTGTATCAGTGCAGAAATAATAGGTCCGCATGTTTGGATGGGCTGCCTGATTGTAAATGACACGATCATTTTAAATAAAATATAGGATTCTGTAAAAGAAAGAGGGAAAAGGTAAGTGATTCCTGACATAGATCATTGCTATCAAATTTCAGAGAAAGTAGACTTACAGAAATGAATCAAGAAAAAAAATATAACTATTAACATAGTAATTTTTTTCTCTTGACTTAACCCTTTTTCTTTAAGTTGAATGCACATGCTAAAATTAAAAAAAAAAAAAAAAGTACACAGAAAGGAAAGGAGGTGAGAACTGATTTAGTGGTGCCTTTTCCATCTCCACATTTCCAGCAATTTCCATTTACTGCAATTCACACCTCGTTTTTTTTTTTTTTTTTTTTTTTTTTTTTTTGAGACAAGAGTCTCACTCTGTTGCCCAGACTGGAGTGTAGTACATGTGTGATCTTGGCTCACTGCAGCCTCTGCCTCCTAGGCTCAAGTGATTCTCCTGCCTCAGCATCCCAATTAGCTGGGATTACAGGCGTGGACCACCATGACCAACTAATTTTTGTATTTTAGTAGAGACGGGGTTTTGCCATGTTGGCCAGGCTGGTCTTGAACTTCTGACCTCAAGTGATCTGCTCACCTCAGCCTCCCAAAGTGCTGAGATTACAGGTGTGAACCACCATGTCTGGCCACACCTCTTTATTCAATAATATTCCGAGCAAACAGCAACAAAATTAATAGAAATGTACATGTTATGGCATTTCTCTCCTGCATTAGCAATTTCTTTAGGCCTCAAAAAGCACTGCTGTATTTTATAAGTATTTCATAGAATTCTTTATAGATATCTACACCCAAATACGAAAGATTTATAAATGATCCAAAATGGTGTTTCCTTTTAGAGCTGTTCCTTAATAAACAGCTCAAATGTTCTCTGTTAAGATTATTAAAACCACCTACAAAGTGTTACTGGACCCTCTGAGCGGAATTTTGAAAAAATAAAGATCGCTGCCCATATTTGTGATCAATGTAAGGAATACTGGGCTGGTGTTAAGAAGATCCAGTTCTAGCCATGACTCAAGACACTAAGAAACCCCACCCATGCTCGCCATCAGTCAAATGGAAATATTTACTAGAGGATGTGAAAGTACCCACTCTAGCTTTAAGTTCCATGTTTGTGTTCAATAATTGTCTATAAAAGTTTCTACTTACCATTCTGACATGCATTTGCATCAATGTCAACAAACTTAGAAGTAAAGCAGCTCATAAATTCAGAGGAAACAATACCACACAAGAGAGAAATTGAAAAAGCAATTACTATTTTTGTTACAGATAAAATTAAAATGAAACCAAATAATTACAAAGAAAATATATTTAAGATGCATGGTCACTTTTACTGCCATTTTAACATTGTAGTATTTTTTTAAGAGTCTAAAACCCCAGAAAAAACGTTCTACAAATAGCACAAATTAATAAACACTTGCTAAATTGATAAGCAATACAAATTTTAAATTCATGGCCAAATAACTGTCCTAATATCATGCACCTCTACATATGTACTTCATAAAGTTATAATTTTAAGTTTTCAAACTATTAACCTTTGTTATAACATAAAATACTTAATTATGTTTTTCTGGTTTACACTGTTGATAAAGCTTACTTTGATAAAGATAATTTAAATATGAAGATATTTCCCTCTTATCCTCAGGTCTTCACTCAAATTACATACCTTCTTTCTCAGAGGCCATCCATCACCCAACCAACTCCTTAACCTCACCACTCTACCTTTCCTGTTCATTTTCTCCTTGGCTAGTTTAACGATTTTTTTTTTTGAGATGGAGTTTCGCTCTTATTGCCCAGGCTGGAGTGCAATGACACAATCTTGGCTCACCACAACCTCTGCCTCCTGGAAATTCAAGCAATTCTCCTACCTCAGCCTCTCAAGTAGGGATTACGGATTATAGGTATGTGCCACCATACCCGGGCACATAATATGTACATATATGTACATTTACTAAAAACACTGTTGTCTCTTATAGTACTCTGCCTCCAATTATTATTATTATTATTATTATTATTATTCTGACAGGGTCTCACTCTGTTGTCCAGGCTGGAGTGTAGCAGTGCAATCTTGGCTCACTGCAACCTCTGCCTCCTGGGGTCAAGCAATCCTCCCACCTCAGCCTTTTATGTAGCTGGGACTATAGGCACATGCCACCACACCTGGCCAATTTTTCTAATTTTAGTGGAGACATGGTTTTACCATGTTGCCCAGGCTGGTCTTGAACTTCTGGGTTCAAGCTATCTGTCCAGCTTGGCCTCCTAAAGCCCTAGGATAACAACATGAACCACTGTGTCTATCCTATTAGTAATTTTTTTTTTGAGACAGGGTCTTACTGTGTTGCCCAGGCTGAACTGCAGTGGTGTAATCATGGCTCACTGCAGCCTTGACCTCCCATGCCCAAGGTATCCTCCCACCTCAGCCTCCCAAGTAGCTGGGACTAGCCACCATGCCTGGCTAGTATAGTTTCATTTGTTTGTTTGTTTTAGAGACAGGCTAGTCCTCAACTCCTGGACTCAAGTGATCCTCCCACCCTGGCCTCTGAAAGTGCTAGAATTACAGGTGTCAGCTGCTGTGTCCAGACCCCAAATTTGCTATTAAAAAATTCAAACCCTTAGGAAGTGGAACATTTTTGGATTAAAAAAAAATTCAAACATATAGTAATCTTGAAAGAACATATAATAATCAGTAGGACATACATAATTATATTTATCAATTATTAGCATTCTGACATGTTTGCTTTATCTAGAACCATTTGAAAGCATACACATGAAGACACTTGACCCCTAAATATTTTAGCATGTGCTTCCTAATTAGAGGGACATTCTTCTATACAACCATAAGACCATTAGTTAATATATTTTAAATATAAAAAAATCACTATAACTAAAATAGCTTTTTGTAATAATCTATGGCTCAATATCCATTTTTAACCAATGCGAGTTTTGAACACAGAATTAAAAACTGTATTATTTCCTTACCTTAAAAGCATATTTGCGATTAATGTGATCTTCAGAGGTAAGCAAAGCTATCTGAAAACTAGGTAACAGTATGCTTCCCAGGATACCCTCTTCTTTCTCATCTAAGAGATAATTTAACATCTGATTAGAATTTTAAATGTTCTCATAATGCACAGTAAAATTTTTTAAGATCTATTTTTGCCAAATCAAAAGGTTCCTGTAAATAAATGAACTATACTCATATTGAGGCAGGTCTTTATTAGGTTTTCAGTGAAAACATCAAATAGCACAAGGATTTACACTTTGGTACGTATACCAAATTCTACAAAGCCCCTTTACATGTCATTCACTGAAAATATACTGGTATGTAAGTAAATGGCATTATTCAATCCTCATTTCTGATGGGATGTAAATGCCCAACCTTCTAACCCTAGACAAATACATGGCTTTGTTGGTTACATCATTCAGGCTTTGCTCGAAGGTCTCATCAATGAAGCCTTCCTTGACTACTGTATTTTAAAATGCTACTTATTAACGTTTTCTCTGTTCTCTTTTGGGAATGTTACCACACCCTACTCTCAACACCTCCAGCATGCTGTATGTTTTAGCTATTTATTTGCTTTTTATCTTTTTCTCCATATTAGAATGTAAGTTCTATAAAGACACTTACAATGGCAGTAGAAGCTCAAAAAAATTTGTTGAGTAAATGAAGACACATGTGAATACATGTTTACTTTTTATTTTTATAACATTCTTGGAGTATGGTGAATACAGATTTTAAACTATGCTATAAAAATTACATGCTTTATTTAAGCATTTAATTTTGAAGGTCTGCTTTTACTGGTCATTGTGATATACAATAGAGTGGTGTGGCAAAATTACAGGACAAGGCAAGCACATAAAATATACCTAGGAAAATGATAAACACAGCATAGATTCACATTATTAACTTGCTGCTTGGCGGCAGAGATGTTTATGAAAATTGAAATATGGACTATATTGTTATGGACCCATAAGACAAGTTAATAAAGCTGTGTCATCAGGCTAATAAACTCACCAATGAGAAACCATCAATGGGAAATAATTCTTTCTACTATGCTTGCTGTGTGTGATTTTTTTCCCTAATTATCAAAAACTTAACAAGGGATTTTATCTATTTTGCCCTCATCTCTAAACATTTAGAATGTTTCTGGCAAAACATCCAAAAGGGAAAAAGTTGTATTAAATGGAGGCTTTTTTTTGATAGCTTTTCTCATAATAATGGAACAAAATTTTGTTTTTACTATTCTGTGCTCATTCTGGTACAATTCACTAATACGTAAGAATGAACAAAAGTACAGATTTAGTCCAAAAGGTTAAAAAGAGTTGGAAAGCAGTCATGAATTATGGAGAATATGACAATTTAAAAGAATAAGTCACATCCTAATTTTGAATTCAATTTTATGTTTATGTTTATATAAGGGGTATCATTAGAAACAGCTTATGAAGTCATCTTTATTAAAATATCATTTTAACCAAATAATACATCCTTCTATGTCCCATGATAAAAATCATCTTTCCTAAAGTTTCTTCAGAATAGACAGAGGCACTATAGCAAAGGCTGATTTCCCTAGATTACCTGAGGTTGTTTTCATGCCTAACACTAACTAGCTGTGAGATCCTAGGCACGTTATTAATGCTTCATATCTGTTTTTTCATCTATAAAATTGGGGATAATAGGACTTGCCTCAAAAGATTGTTATGAGGGTTAAATGAGTTAATACACATTAAAAAAACTCAGCACAGATTGATGCATTAAGTAAATACTGCTATTATTATATAAAATTAAAGACAGTGCATATAAAAAAATCTTCATCTTCTGTCAAATGACTATCCCGAGTTCTTCAGCTTCTTAAACTGCTCCTAATCACAACATTCTTCTGTTTAGTTCTATATCAAGTCCATCCTAAGCACGGCCCTAGTTTCTATCACCTAGAGTGCCTAATAGACTGACAAAGAATAAGTACTGAGTAGTGTCTGTAGAATGAAAGAACTCTCCATGGGGTCAGCAGAGGCCTTTCTGAGAATGCATGGCAGCCCATTTTGTCTCTGCCATTTTCTTCCTTCATTTTGCCACAGCTGACGGTTCCAAGAACAACACTCTCCAAAAAGCTTTCTACATATTAATCCCCATCACAGAGTTTGCTTCCGAGGGAACATGACCTGGGACAGGAGCCATAAGAATCTCAACATTTTACTGGATTCAAGTGACATTTTAGATTCTCCATTTCTAATTAGTTTAAGATATCTGGGAGTAAGACAAAAAATACATGCAGTTATAGTTGGGTAAATATCACAATTATCATTTATAACCTGGAATACTCCAACACTGTTAACTGGTCTTTTGGCTTCTAATGAAAATGCTAGAGTGATTTTCCTAACTTGCATTCCTGATTCTATTATTATTCTTGCATTCAAGATACAGTTCATTAGAATGGCAAACAAATGTCCTTTGTGCCTTAATCTACCTTTTCAATTTTTTTTTTTTTGAGACGCTGTTTCACTCTTATTACCCAGGCTGGAGTGCAACGGCACTATCTCGGCTCACTGCAACCTCCGCCTCCTAGGTTTAAGCAATTCTCCTGCCTCAGCCTTAGCACAGTATTCAGCAAATAGTAAATATGCAAAAAAATATACACAGGCTACTATGATCATCTCACTAAAATCTAATTATTTTAATTTAAAATCTAACATTTCTTATTCATAAAATAGCGAAAATGTATAATATCAAATGCTTCTTTCCAACAATCTGCAGAGTAGTCATCTGAAGCGAGTTAAATGATATTTCTCGTTCCTACAGTTTCTTCTTTTTTATATTCCTCCTGCATGGGAAACTACTAAAATTAATAAATACATTGCATGTAAAATGCAAGTGGTTAATAATAAGGAATCTCAAAATCAGCATGGCTTGCTTTTTTTTTTTCCCCCCAGCTTCTATTATAGGTTCAGGAGTACACATGTGGATTTGTTAGAGAGGTAACTTGCGTGATGCTGAGGTTTGGAGTACGGATCAATCAGTCTGCAGGATAGTACAGTACCCAATCGGTACTATGTTTAGCCCTCCCCAGTGTCTACTGTTCTGAACTTTATATACACTAGCATGGTTTCTGACTCACTTTTACATTTTTCAAATGTGATTAAAAGTTTTCCTATTATAGGCCAGGCACGGTGGCTCACGCCTGTAATCCCAGCACTTTGGGAGGTTGAGGTGGGCAGATCACGAGGTCAGGAGATCAAGACCATCCTGGCCAACATGGTGAAACCCCATCTCTACTAAATTACAAAAAAAAAAAAAAAAATTAGCTGGTCATGGTGGCGCATGCCTACAGTTCCAGGTACTCAGGAGGCTGAGGCAGGGAAATTGCTAGAACCCAGGTGACGGAGGCTGCAGTGAGCCGAGATTGCATAACTGCACTCCAGCTTGGCAACAGAGCAAGACTTCACCTCAAAAAAAAAAAAAAAAAAAAAAAGTTTTCCTATTATAATAAAAGCGATGAGCCTCACCTCCCTGGGCAACAAAAATAGCAAATTAAAAGGAATTCAGTGTTTTCTGGCCAAAAAGTAACATCAACAAATTCTTGGCTGGGTGTGGTGGCTCACATCTGTAATCCCAGCACTTTGGGAGGCTGAGATGGGTAGATCATTTAAGGTCAGGAGTCTGAGACCAGCCTGGAAAACATGGAGAAATCCAGCCTCTAAAAAAAAAAAAAATTAGCCAGGCGTGGTGGTGTGTGCCTGTAATCCCAGCCACCTGGGGGACTGAGGCTTGAGAATCACTTGAACCCAGGAGGCGGAGGTGTGAGCCGAGATGAGCCTGGGCGACAGAGGGAGACTCCATCTCAAAAATTACCCACCCCACAAAAATCCAACAAATTCTTATATTAGACGTAATAAACATTTTCTTGTTATAAGTAGTCTATAAATATACTGAAAAAGAGAGGAAAAGAGAAATTATAAGCTTAAGGATAATGCCTGAAATACAACTTCTAACTTTCTGAAAGAGTCAGAAAACCCCTAAGGAAAATTGTAGAGTAAGCTTAGCATTTAACTAAAGATAATACCACAATTGCAGCCTGAGGAACATCTCTATGACAAAATGCAACTTTATAGGGTTGGTTAATTCTGAATCAGCAGTAATTCTCTAGCACAGTTTGCAGATGAAAATGATTCTAGTAATTCCAAATTTTGAAGGTTAATATGCATTATAATGCTTCAATACACAATTATAAATTTGCTACAGGTCTTTTGAGTAGTCAAAAAATATAAAAACTGCTAATCACTTCTAAAACTCTGTTATATCTTCTAACTTATACTTCTCAAGATAAGTCATAAATTATTAATCATGGGTTGACGATCTAATTCTTTGTGGCAGTTTACAACCAAAGTTTAAAGTAGGGAAGAAGGAGAGACAATCCAGGTTTACTATAGCTGAGGCAGATTTCTCTGGACAGCAGCACTTAGGTATGGCTTTCATTGGCAGGTAACAACTTTGTAGTATCTCAGAGACTGTGGCATATGAACAGAAACATCTCTGGATTTTTATTTAAAACTGAATTAATAATTTACTAACCAGAGAAAAGCTATCTGTGTTTGGTTGAAAAAAAAAGTCCAGAATGAAAATATTTCTTTGTAATGTACTTTTTTCATTTGCTAGTACATCATAGTAGTCCCTTACGTTCTAATATCATTTGCTGTGGAGCAGAATTGGGTGCTTGACGAAACCATAAGCTAGATCTGACAAAACTGACATGTGAAAATTTTAATTTGATTTCATATTTGTAATCAAGAACCTCATCAAACTAAAGCTTGTATCTATAATGCATCAAACTCAAGAGTAGCACTATAGAGCAAAGATTAGGGAAGCTGGACTAAAACTCAGACTGAAGATGGTCTGAAGCACAATATTTATTCTATCATAACCCCAAGACTCAGAATGATATGTCAAAGAAGAAAAAATCTGTTTGATACTATTTGTTGATAATAAAATAGCACACAGAATTATAATACTTCTTTTAAAAAAAGTATCTGATACTTAATATACATACATATAATAGGTAACTTACTTATCAATTACAACATAATACACCAAGATAGTCTGGGGTAAACTTACCTCTATAATAAAAGAGGCAAAGGTCAGAAAGCACAAACCAACGTTTCTTCCACAATTTCATGCCAGTACTGTCCTGCATTAAATCAGCATTTTTAAAGATTATTTCTGAAACAATAAACACTCAGTTCTTGTGCATTTATTTATTTATTTATTTTTTTGAGACAAAGTTTTGCTCTTGTTGCTCAGGCTGGAGTGCAATGACACGATCTCAGCTTGCTGAAACCTCTGCCTCCTGGGTTCAAGCGATTCTCCTGCCTCAGCCTCCAAGTAGCTGGGATTACATGCACCTGCCACTAGGCCTGGTTAATTTTTTTGTATTTTTAGTAGAGACAGGGTTTCATCAGACGGGGTTTCACCATGTTGGCCAGGCTGGTCTTGAACTCCTGATCTCAGGTGATCCACCCTTCTTGGCCTCCCGAAGTGCTGGGATTATAGGAGTGAGCCACTATGCCTGGCATTGTGGACTTTTTTTTTTTTTTTTTTTTTTGAGACAGAGTCTTGCTTTGTTGCCAGGCTGAAGTGCAGTGGTGCAATCTCGGCTCACTGCAACCTCTGCCTCCTGGGTTCAAGCAATTCTCCTGCCTCAGCCTCCCACATAGCTGGGACTACAGGTGCGCACCACCACGCCCAGCTAATCTTTGTATTTTTTTAGTAGAGACGGGCTTTCATCATGTTAGTCAGGATGGTTTTTTTTTTTTTTTTCTTTTTTTGAGATGGAGTTTCGCTCTTGTTACCCAGGCTGGAGTGCAATGGCGCGATCTCGGCTCACCGCAACCTCCGCCTCCTGGGTTCAGGCAATTCTCCTGCCTCAGCCGCCTGAGTAGCTGGTATTACAGGCATGCACCACCATGTCCAGCTAATTTTTTGTATTTTTAGTAGAGACGGGGTTTCACCATGTTGACCATGATGGTCTCGATCTCTTGACCTCGTGGATCCACCCGCCTCGGCCTCCCAAAGTGCTGGGATTACAGGCTTGAGCCACTGCGCCCGGCGTCAGGATGGTTTTGATATCTTGATCTTGTGATCCTCCTGCCTCGGCCTCCCAAAGTGCTGGGATTATAGATGTGAGCTACCACGCCTGGCCGACCTTGTGCATTTTTTAAAAGTAAACTTTTAAAACAAGGAATGTTTGATACATGTGTAACATAACCTAACTAAAAGGCCAATTAAAAATTTGGAAGTAGTTTTCTAGGGCCTTAAGATATTCTCAACTAGACTGGTCTCTGAAAAGTAATACCATCATGTAAAAGGAATATATTAAGGCAACTTAATTTGATTTCATATTTGTAAGCAATCTGAAATTCACTCTTCTCAACACAAATGTCTGCTAGGATGAGACTACTGTAACCATGCAGGAGTGCATGCATTCTGATAAACCAGATTTAATAAATATGTTAATCTTCAACAAGAAGAAAAATATGTGAATTGAAATTATTCCAAAGGTAATGTGATTTTAAATGACTGTGAATAAAGAAACCTTAATATACAAATATATTTCATAAACTTTTTTCCTCTTAGTCTACAGCTTGGGATTTGCTCATCATGCAGAAAAGAGAGCTTATTTGGCAGCTATTTCTAAGTAATTTAGTTCATTAAAATACCAGGCTCAAAACAAAATTAGAATTTAATAAAAATTACTTTCCCATATGCAATGTAGCAAAATTGCATGTAAAAATTAAATAGATATCAAAAAAAAAAAAAAAAAAAAGAGGCCAGTTTGGATGTGCATTGATTATTTCTAAATTTATTTCTAGCTGTGAGAATCATCTAACAATGACTTTAGAACTAAAGAAATTAACATGGGTAAAATCTTTCAAAGTAAAAGATTTGACCTTAAAATTGACAGTTTTCCCAAAATAAAAAAAAAGGGAAAAAAATTAAACGGTATATGATACCCTCTTCAAGTTTTTTTCTTTAGAAAGTCTCACACTGTCACCCAGGATGGAGTATAGAATCTTGGCTCACTGCAACCTCCGCTTCCCGGGTTCAAGTGATTCTCATGCCTCAGCCTCCCGAGAAGCTAGGATTACAGACGTGTGCCACTACTGCCCAGCTAATTTTTGTATTTTTAGTAGAGACAGGATTTCTCCATGTTGGCAAGGCTGGTCTCGAACTCCTGACCTAAAAGTAGACAGGAGGTCTCATTATGTTGCCCAGGCTGTTCTTGAACTCCTGGGCTCATGTGATTCTCCAGCCTTGGCCTCCCAAAGTGCTGGGATTACAGGCATGAGCTACTGTGCCTGGCCCAAAACAAACACTTATTAGAGAAGCTACTTGGTAATACTTTTGCAATTCTAAATTAACCAAGGGATCAAGAAATAAGAACAAGAGCTATTTTATTATTTAAAATAAATAATAAGTGCCACAGGCTATTAGGTTCAATTTTGCACTGAAATATTTGAACATAAGTTGGACTTACTAGAAGGACTAGTTGGAAAATATGGAACAAATTTTCTATTAGAAACTGGGCTGGGTGCAGTGACTCATGCCTGTAATCCCAGCACTTGGGATGCTAAGGTGGGTGGATCATTTGAAGGAAAGGAATTCAAAGCCAGTTTGGCCAACATGGTGAAAACCTGTCTCTACGAAAAATACAAAAATTAGCCGGGCAGCAGTGGCACATGCCTGGAATCCAAGCTACGTGGGAGACTGAGGCAGGAGAATTGCTTGAGCCTGGGAGGCAGAGGTTGTGGTGAGCCGGGACCATGCTGCTGTACTCTAGGCTGGGGGGGCGGAGGTGGGGGGGCAACAGGGTAAGACTGTCTCCAAAAAAAAAAAAAAAAAAAAAGAAACTAAATGTGCAAAAATCTTTTGGCTTAGATAAGTTTAAATATCAAATAGTTAAAATATAGTCAATGATCAGGTGTTGGGAAAAAATAAAAAATATGTATGTATATACATAGATAATGATCTTTAAATAAAAATTATGAGTCTTAATAAATAAAAATCATTAGGTCACCTGAAAGCAATTAGCAATATTTAACAGAATAAACTGGCACCAATGAACTAATATTTAACTTTCTTTGTATAATCTGTAAGCATATAGAATCAGAGAACGAAAAAGGCCTTTGAAGACTGAGGATGTCACCTCAGTTATCTGCCAGCCACTTATCTGAAACCCAGCTGCAAACTAGAAAGTAAACAACAGCCTCTATGTAATCAAAATGATGCCAAAATCCAAGAAGGTAATGTACCTACATCTTTACTAATTCCAAAACTAAAAAGGTTCCAAAAAAGCTTAGATAGTAAGTTCCCCAGTTAATGCAACAATATAAACTCCAACTTACCAGGATGCCTGACAGTAAACTCTGTATGAGAAAATTAAAAAGAAAAAAATAAAATAAAGAAAGAAAATATAACCAAAAACTTAAGAGGAAGAAAGACTAGTCTCATATTATAGAATAAAAAAACGGAAAAAAAAAAAAAAAAAAAAAAAAAAAAAACCAGAAAAATCTGAAATTATCAAATTTCTATATAAAGGAGGAGAAATATATAACTATTTCTCTAATGATTTTTATATCAACAGAAAAATGAACAGTACCCTTGTATTAATATTTAGTTGTTTATTTCAATTTTGACATTTAAAAAATATTTCTACCTGGATACTTTTACCATGCTATTTCTAACATTTTCATATAGCATATATTTAATTTTAAATCTAGAAACACCCATAACGAACACACAAACAATCTCTGTTCTAAGTAATGTCCACCGCTTTTTCTGTCTTCACTGTTCCCTTGATATTCTTCATGGGTAACAAGCAGTCAAAGAACCTAGGTGGCTTCTCCGTAGTTCCTTCTTAATTTTATGATTTTATAGAATTGTCTTCGGTACATTCAGTTAAAAAGGTTCCTTCTAATTCTGTCTTTTGTTTCTTATCAAATAGAAAAAAAACATACCTGTTTATAAAGCCAACCTCGTCTGACCACTGGTGCATTAGGGTTCCTTTTAATTGAATTTGACCTCTTTCCAAAATTATGAACTTTTTTTGAAGCTCGTGAAGTCTAAATAGAAAAAGAGTATGATAAAAAATGTGGTATTAATGCCTAGATATTTGAGCTTATTTTCCTCTTCAAATTTAATCTCTTTTCAGATTTTCCTACGACTTGCAGGACTCAAATCTTTTCAGATAAATTACTGAAATTTTACTTTTGCTGTGTTAGTTTTTTGAAATATAAGGATTCTGCACCAAAAATTTCCCCCCAGGATACCACAAGTTTTGCAATCTTTCCTTTAAAATCTGGATCGGATATACAATTTTTAGAAAGACACGAGTATGTGGCAGTATATTGTTCTACCTGCTATATAAAATGAATAGATATTGAGTAAAAACTGTTAACAAATCTTTAAGAATAAACCAAATGATATAACTTTTCCCTTTATATCTGCATTTAATAGTGCAGGTTCAATTAAAGAAAGTTAACAGCACTCAGTCTGAGGAGAAATATACAGATATTAAATATAAACAAATATATCACATCAAGTCAAAATAAAACTGGAAGGATCTGCTTAATGTGAAATAGTGTTTTGTTTTTTGTTTTTTTTTGACAACTCTGAACTTAAATGATACCAGACACATGGAGTTTATTGGATTCTTCAAAGTACGCATAAGGATATATAATCTTTAAAAATACTGCTATGGTTACCATGAAGATTTATTTTGGTAGGAATCGTAGTGGTAACTAACAAATATGAAAACAATGAAGCTATAAAGTAACATATAATTATCTCTTCCTTTCCTAATTGTAGAGAAATCTAGCATACTTCATTAGAATTTTGTTTTTTGTGAAGCTTTTATTAGTATATAAGAGAATTTTAAGGCCCAATATCAACAAAATTCTTCTTAAAGCATATTTTCTTGATAGATTTTAATTTACTTTCAAACAGATAATGCTTAAAAACATTATAAACCTCAAAGACACAAAAAAATACACAAGGATCAATCTACTTCTCACTCTTGGGCTCTCGCACCCAGCTAACTGCACTCGCAACTCTATGGGGCAACCAGTATCATTGTGTGTATGCGTGTGTCTATCTTTCTAAAATATTTGTTCTCATGGTTTTGAATATTTTTCTGAAATGACAGCGTATTTTAATATCTACTCTTTTGTTTCATTATTTCTTGGAGCTCACTATATAAACAGAATGCCTATTTACCCATACTCTTGTCAATATGCTGTGTTATGAAACTTTCTGACCTTTGGAAATCTGCAGGTGAAAATGGTGTTTTTTTCCGGTTTTAAATAATATTTTTCATATTATGGATAAGGCTGAGCATCTTTTTTCATCTGTTTAAGAGTAAATTCCATTTTCTTTACTGAGAACTGATTTTATATAATTTATCCATTTCCAAACTGGCTTATAAACCCTTTTCTTATTGATTGAAAGCACTTCTTTAATTATAAGGAAATTATTCTTTAATTGCTATATAAATTGCAGATACTCTGCATGGATAATAATCACATGTGATTGAATTTCTCATTATTTTATATTGTTACTTCTGGGTTTTATGTCATATTTAGAAAGCCCATCTGCATTCTGAGCTCTTTTTTTTTCCCTTAAATCTTCCATTTTTTTTCCCCTAGTGCTTTTATAGTTTTTTTTTTTTTTTTTTTTTTTTTTTTTTTTTTTTTAACATTTCAACAACTGATCCGTCTAGAAAATTTTTGGTGTAAAGTATGAGAAATGGATTCAACTTTCTTTCAAGACAATGCCCTAGTGGCCCTCAATCCATTCATCGATTTCTCCAGATTTTAATTAAAATATACTCATAAAGCATTATGCTCAGCCTGTTGGATTTATATTAACTTAATCAAAAATTATTTATATTATTTGAAAATTTATATTCATTTATAATCTCCTAACAAAATTTTGTTTCAAAAACCTTAACAGGCATTTAAAATACTATTATTATAATTATCTATTTCCTTATAATAAACATAATTTACCATTACAGTGGTTTTGCTGAAAAATGTTTCCTCAATCTAGGCATTCTTATATCCAGAAAATTTGATTTCTAGGCTATTACATTACTCTTCACCTTTAAAACTTAAGTGTGTCTACTCTCTCTCAAAAATATCATTGTATTTCTAACATTATTCCAAATTCAAAAATGTAAGTCATTGAATTATAATCTTATTACTTTATATTTTCAGCCTATTGCTATATCTCATGTAATAATAAAAATGTAATGATTATTCTATAATTCTAAGTCCATTATGAGTAACGGTATAGATACTATTTACTCCTTATCAATAATTAATAAAAAGTAAAATAACTTACTCTGCCTACAGGGCTCATTGGATGCACTGCATAATCTGAAGTCACATTATAGTTAGAAGCTTCATTTATCATACTTATAGGTCGTTCCTTCTTTTCTTCAGATGTCATGGTTGCAACAGTCCTGAAAATATATGTCAAAACACTAGAACTTGCTGGGTATGTAACCCGCTTTATAATAACACTTCCCTAGAGTTAACAATTCGAGTGTCCTACTTTTCCAAAGTAGTTTGATCCTAGTTACTCTAGAGTCAGGCCTTAATACTTACAACAACTTTAAATACAGCTAACACTTTTACGAAGCCAAAAATGTTTATTATTACCATGTTTATTTATTTTTATTTTTAAACACAAAAGTCTCATTCTGTCGCTCAGGCTGGAGTACAGTGGTATGATTTTGGCTCACTGCAGAATCTGCCTTGCAGGTTCAACTGATTCTCCTGCCTCAGACTCCTCAGTAGCTGGGACTACAGGCACATGCCATCATACCCAGCTAATATTTGTATTTTTTAAGTACAGTCAAGGTTTCACCATGTTGGCTAGGCTGGTCTCGAATGCCTGATCTCAAGTGATTTGCTCACCTAGGCCTCCCAACGTGCTGGGATTACAGGCATAAGCCACCACAGCCAGCCTATCATGTTTATTTTTAACAGACATTACTGCAGATATTCTACTTCGTCATCCCACTAAAAATTAAAAATGAATTATAAGATTATTCTGATACTACAAACAATAACAATTTCAGTAACTTACTGTGTGAATAGCTTTATAGTATGATACATTCGTACACATATCTCATTTGATACTTATAAAACTCTTGTAAAATAGTCATTACCAACTATCTGATTTAAGGATGAGAAAACTGAGCTCAAATTAGTTTAATAATCTAACCAAGTTTACATAGTTTCTCTATGCCTGCATCCTGGGCTCTAGAGCTTACTGAGTTTGAAGTACTATCAAAACAGCTTCTGAAATTACATTCCTCATGAAAAAATACTTAAGTCAGATTTCTGTATGACACATTATGTTATACTTGACTACAAATGTCCAGATAAGAAAGCTGTTAAATTCTATTGAATGAAATATAAATAACAGCAATTTCAATTTCAATGCTAACCCAATTTTAAACACAGGCATTCCATGAACTCTTTACTTACTGTTCATTCACTACAAAAATACAGTTGTCCTGTGATGGTTGTCCCGTGACTGGATGCTTGCAGGTCACTTTCCTTTCATTATGGCTGACAAAAGAATGGAAAAAAAAAAAGAACATGTAGGTATTTAAATGACCGTTTTGTTACTGTAACATTAAAGTTAGTCTACAAAAGAAACAAAATTCAAACTCCCAGCCCAGCTCCTTTTTTTTTGAGACGAAACTTTGCTCTTGTCGCCCAGGCTGGAGTGCAATGGTGTGATCTCACTGCAACCTCCATCTCCTGGGTTCAAGCAATTCTCCTGCCTCAGCTTCCTGAGTAGCTGGGATTATAGGTACCTACCACCACACCCAGATAATTTCCTGTATTAACAAGGTTTTACCATATTGGTCAGGCTGGTCTTGAATTCCTGACCTCAGGTGATCCACCCACCTCAGCCTCCCAAAGTGCTAGGATTACAGAGGTGAGCGACTGCGACAGTCGTCAGACTTTTGAGATTCCTAAATATATCTGTCCTACTACTATCTACTGGGAGTGTATATTTGTGTAAATGTTGCTTCCATTTTTATAAAAAAAGTTAAATGCATTCCTTCTCAGTGTGCCTCAGCCTCCCAGGTAGCTGGGATTACAGGCATGTACTACCACACCTCACTAATTTTGTAGTTTTAGTAGAGACAGGGTTTCACCATGTTGGTCAGGCTGGTCTTGAACTCCTGACCTCAGGTGATCCACCCACCTTGGCCTCCCAAAGTGCTGAGATTACAGGTATGAGCCACTGCACTTGGCCAAATTCAGGTCTTGATATAAAGCATACCTATGGTCACAGAACAAACTAATACCCACCTTGTCTCTGTAGTCACTGTGGCCTAGTAGGAAGTCCAAACCTTTCTAAATACAATGCTAGTGTTTACCTACCCCTACTTCCAGACTTTCCTCAAGGATGTTTTAATGAGTAGGTCTAGACAAGTGGTTCTCAATTGGGTGATTCTGCCTTCCAGGAGAACATCTGGCAATCCCTGGTAACATTTTGAATGTCACAATTGGGGAGATGTTACTGGTATCTAGTGGGCAGAGGCCAGGGTGCTGTTAATTTTATAATGCAGAGCAGAGCCCTCCATGTAAAATAAACCTCCAGAAACGTCAACAGTACTGAGGGTGGGAAGCCCTGCACTAGGTATGGTAATCCTTAAACTATGATAACCCTTAAAATAACTGAGTCTACTGAATAAGGAAAGCAATTATTTACTAACATTACTAATACATGTTCCTGTATTTCTCTAAACACAACAGAGGTTGAAGAAAACAATGGCAGTTGAGAGCACAGGTTCTGAAGTCAGACTACATAGGTTTGAATCCCAGCTCCTCCACCTAATAGACAGGTGATCTTTGGCAACTTACTTTACCTCTGTGTCTCAAATGACTAAAGGCAGCTATGTCACAGGTTATTCCTTAATTTAACCAACATACACATGTACATACATACAAATATTTTTATAAATATATCTATATAGATATATATCTATATACAGTAGTCCTCCCTTATCTGTGGTTTTGGTTTCTATGGTTTCGGTTACCCTCAGTCAATTGCTGTCCAAAAATATTAAATAGAAAATTCCAGAAATAAACAATTCATACGTTTTAAATTGTAAGCTGTTCTGAGTAGTGTGATGAAATCTCTCTTCATCCTGTTCTGTCGCATCTATGATGTGAATCATCCCTTTGTCTAGTGTCTTGAAACTGTCGATGCTATCTGCCCCATTAGCTACTTAATAGTTGGCTTGGTTCTCAGATCAACTGTTGAGGTACTGCAATTTTTGTGTTCAAACAACCCTTACTTAATAATGACCCCCCTCCACCAAAGTACAAGACCAGTGATACTGGCATGCTGTTACATTTTTATTAGTTAATGCAGTTAATCTTTTACTGTGCCTAATTTTTTCAAAAACAGAGTAAGGAGGTCTTGCTAGGTTGCCCAGTCTGGCCTCAAACTCTTGGGCTCACGTGATCTTCCTACTTTGGTTTCCCAAAGTGCTGGGATTACAGGCATGAGTCAGCATACCTGGCCCACTGTGCTTAATTGATAAATTAAAATGTATCATAAAGCAGTGAAAAATAAAAATAAAAATCCTTGCCCTCATGGAAATTACTTTATAATGGAGATGTGGAAAATAATAAGCACTTGATAAAGGTTATTTACAACTATTACGAACTACAGGATACTGAGTATATGTCATCATTATATTAGTATTTGGCCAACTATTTAAAAGTTTAACTTTGTGCCTACCCAAATACAGTCACCTGTCACTAACTATGGTGAAACATTTTTGTTTGTTTGTTTCATCATACTCAACCCCAAACATGGTGATACATTTTAAAATACATTAAGTGATTTCACAGTTGTGTGAACATCAGAGAGCATACGTACACAAACCTGGTTGGCACTGCCTACTATAAACCTAGGCTATAGAGTGAAGCTTATTGCTTCTAGGCTAAAAATGGTATGGCATGTTACTGTATTGAATACTATAGGCCATTGCAATATAAAGTATTTGTGTATCTAAATATATCTAAACATAGAAAAGGAACATTAAAAATATGGTCTTATGCCTGTAATCCCAGAACCTTAAGAAGCCAAGGTGGGTGTATCACTTGAGGCCAGGAGTTTGAGATCAGCCTGGACAACATGATGAAACCCTATCTCTACTAAAAATACAGAAATTAGCTGGCCATAGTAGTGCATGCCTGTAATCTCAGCTACTCTGGTGGCTGCGGCACACCACTGGACTCCAGTCAGGGCAACAGAGTAAGACTCTATCTCAAAAAAAAAAAAAAAAGTATGGTATTAAAGATTAGAAATGGGACATGTTTATAGGGCACTTATCATAAATGAAGCTTGCAGGTCTGAAAGTTGCTCTAGGTTAGTCAGTCAGTATGCAGAGACTGAATGTGAAAGCCTAAGGCATTACTGTACACTACTCTAGACTTTATAAGCACTGTACACTTAGGCTATATCAAATTTATTAAAAATATTTTTTAAAACTTTAAATTTATAAAAATATTTTTCTTTCAATTAAGCTTAGCTTATTGTAACTTTATAAAATTTTAATTTTTTTTTTTTGGGGGGGGGGATGGAGTTTCGCTCTTGTTACCCAGGCTGGAGTGCAATGGTGTGATCTTGGCTCACTGCAACCTCTGCCTCCTGGGTTCAGGCAATTCTCCTGCCTCAGCCTCCTGAGTAGCTGCGATTACAGGTGTGTGCCAACATGCCCAGCTAATTTTCTGTATTTTTAATAGAGACGGGGTTTCACCATATTGACCAGGATGGTCTCGATCTCTTGACCTCGTGATCCACCAGCCTTGGCCTCCCAAAGGGCTGGGATTACAGGCGTGAGCCACTGTGTCCACCCAACATTTTTAATTTTTAAAATTTCTTTCTTTTTTTTTTTTTTCAGGGACAGAATGTTACTCTATCACCCAGGCCATAGTGCAGTGGTGTGAACACAGCTCTCTGCAGCCTCGACTTTCCAAGTTCATGCAATCCTCCTAGCTCAGTCTCTCAAAGAGCTGCACTACAGGTGCACGTGACCACACCTACCTAATTTTTAAAATAGCTACTTGGGAGGCTGAAGGAGGAGGATTGTATGAGTCCAGGAGTTTGAGGTTGCAGTGGGCTATGATTACCACTGCACTCCAGCCTGGGCAACAGAGCAAGACCTTGCCTTTTTTTTTTAAGATGAGGTTTCACCATGTTGGTCAGGCTGATCTTGAACTCCTGACCTCAGGTGATCCGCCTGCCTTGGCCTCCGAAGTGCTTGGATTATAGGTGTGAGCCACCATGCCCGGCTGACCTTGCCTTTCTTTTAAAACAAAAACAAAACAAAACAAAAACAACAACAACAAAAAAGACTCCATTTTTCTGGTGAGTTCAGGGCTAAAGAAAACAAGCTCAACTTACTGTTCGTACCTTTTCTTTCTTTCTTTTTTTAAAAAGAAAAGATACCAAGAAATTGATAAATAGCAAGACAGATTGCTTGTGCTTTGGCATTATGTCTTTTTCCTATTTGTTACCAGAGTTTTAATCTTTTGCTATAATTGGAAGAGTGAATGAAAGGCCTGACACTTTAAAGCTTCTATGAAACTATTATTTCATTTAATAATAATTTGGTTGTGAAGGATTTTAAGATGACTAAATCAGCGTGCATAAAAAATGGTATGTGTATGTATATGTGTGTATATATATATATATATATATATATATATATATATATATTTCCATCAACTCATATAACATTAAAATGACATGTCTACTGGAGATAAAATAGAAATTCATTAGTCAACCTAATTCTTTTCCCATCTTATGTATTTTATAAACCAAATAATGAATTATGGAAGAAACTACTGGAACACCTGGGCTACACTGAACTTTTTTTTTTTGTTGTTTGAGAAGGGGTTTCGCTCTTGTTACCCAGGCTCGAGTGCAATGGCGCGATCTCGGCTCACCGCAACCTCCGTCTACTGGGTTCAGGCAATTCTCCTGCCTCAGCCTCCCGAGTAGCTGGGATTACAGGCACACCCCACCATGCCCAGCTAATTTTTTGTATTTTTAGTAGAGACAGGGGTTTCACCATGTTGACCAGGATGGTCTCGATCTCTTGACCTCGTGATCCACCCGCCTTGGCCTCCCAAAGTGCTGGGATTACAGGCGTGAGCCACCGCACCCAACCCAAACTTTTAAGCAGATATCTTAGTTCTGAGCTTTCTGGAAGCTTAGATAAAAAGAGAAGGCTAAAGCACACAGCTCCTATAAACTATTTACGGAAGGAAGAACAATTTACCAGGTTTGAATCAACTTTAAATAAAAGGTTTCTTCTATATAAATAACTAACTGTATGACAGCACTCTGCAAATAGGGGAGGCTGATGTTTGTCTCCCTTTCCAGGGTAATAGAAGATATTTTTCGTAGCGTCTACATTGCTTTGGTTTTCTGTCATCAGGAGACATATAAAGGAGGATGACAATGGCATTCCTTAAAAAACATAATCAAGCACACACTCTTTCTCATCAAAATAAATGCATAAAGTGCACAT